GGCCTGTCTACTGTAGCTTACAGCTAAAGATGAGAGAAAGGAGCGGGGGAAGGCCATTTTAAACAGTGACTGCTTGGTTTTGAGAAGACAGGATTTTGATCCCACAATTCAAACGCACACAGAAGTAATGCTTTTCAGACAGGATTTACCCAAATTTTCCCAACAGTTCTCAGTTGTTGTCTCATGGCAAAGCCATTGCTTTGACAAGAAAGATTCACCCCCCACATCCAGCATCAAAATGGATCAGAAACACTTCTGTAGCAGTAACTCAATTGCACCTCCCGTTTTTCTTTTCTAAAACTCTGGAGAGCGATGAATGCGTAGGTGCAAGCAAGCTGGCTCCCTGGCCACCTCCTTCCTCCAGGCATCCTCTGTCTCTCAGCTGTTCATATTAATATTTGAACACAGAATTCTAGGTTGCTGGGGAAGACACCATGTTTAGCCTTTTCCTTTGCAGCAAGAGCAATCGGGCAGCCAGGAGCCAACATACTCACTCACTCCTGTGTGTTCATGATTAACTAGGCTCTTTTAAAAAATCTGGGTACTCATGGCTGCTTGGCCAATGGGTGCATATCTGATTCTATTTGAGCTCTATATAACATGGATTCACAAGTGTATCTTCACTCTTTGGCTAAGAACCCTGAAAGGTGAAGTGGAACATTTTTTACCAAGTAATTAGGAAGCTGCCTGCACCATTTACCTTGCAGCTTTCTTCCTACAGAGTCTAAACTTTTTTTTGAATGAAAATTCAGAGCTTAGTCTCCTCTGCAGGTTCTAGGGCCATAAAGCATGTTCACCAGCATGCTGCCCATGAGATGGCAGATTATTTGCTCTGCCTTTCCAGATACAGAAGTCAAGAAAATTCACTCTTAAAGATAAGCATGACCAGGGCTTTTTTTGTCATAGAATGCGCCCGGCACCTTTTTTTCAATGGAATTTAGGAAGGAGCAGATCAGCAGCGAACATCATTAACACAGTGCCTGCAGGCTGCTATTGTATCTGCTATCTGAGCTGCTCTGCTGCTCGGCTTGGGATTGGTGTGTGTGCTTACTGCAGGCAGGGGATGTACCTCCAGCACTTTTTTTTTTTTTTACAAAAAAAGCACTGAGCATGACAATTGCCCTTCTTCTTTGTTACAAAGAAGAAAATGTTCTCTTTCAGTTCCAGAATTTGATAGCAAAAAGATGTAACAATTCTGAGATTAATGTCCTTAAACTTCATTACTCAAATAATTTCAAATCATCCAAGTACTTGTTCCTTATCTTGGCCTGTGTCCTGTCCTTTCCTGTTTTATCTGTAGAATTGATTAAGGCTGCAATCCTAGGCACCCTTACTCCAAAGTAAACTTTATTGATCTCCATGGGACTTACTTCTGAGTGAACATTGCCAGGACTGTGCTGTAAATACTTCGTTACAATTTCTTTTCTTAAGCAGAAGGAAAATGGTAACTGAATAGGTGAGGCTTCTTATTCCAGAACTATATTTTCTCCAGTCATCCTTTTTTCCTGGCCACATTCCTCTCTTTGGTACCTTCAGTCACAACTAATTTAGCAAGGATCATCTCGAAGATCTTCTGTTATAGCAGCTGAGCTGATCTCTTCTTGCATGAGCTTTCCAAGGGCCTTGTGGCTTTGACTCTTCGTCTTAACAAATTCCACTAGTATGAAGTCAGTTGACCTTACAGTCTTTGGACACGTTTGTTTCCCAGCAGGCAATGAACTATGATGCAAGTAGATTTCCAACTGGTGATCACAGCCCAAAATAGCTGAGCAGTCACCTGACCCATTCATTGCCTTTTACATCTTGACAAAAACACTGAGATGTCTAGTTAAATGCTGCATATTTGATACGATCTGCAGAGTTCTTTATCTATCTCCTCTCTCCCTGCAATATAAATGGCAAACATGTAAATATTTGCTGTAGCTAAAAATTCTTGTTGAATTCCCAAACCCATAAATGTTGCTGGGCACACTGGATATTTGTAGGCATTCTCTCAGAAAGCAGCTCTGAGATACTACTTGAATTTAGTATTTCAGTAAGTAATGTAAATACGTCTTCCTTGTATAATAATGCATGCTCTTAAAAATACTGAGGGACAGAGGAAACAAGCTTAAAGATATGCTCACACTGGCCCTTTGACAATGTACAGTTGAGCAGCTAGGTCTGACTCTTGGGACAAAGAACCTACCCAAATAACAATGCAGAGCAGCCTTCTCCAAGCCTCAGTACTGCTCTCCTCCTGGCTAAGGCTGCCAGGAGTTGAAGGACACATTTGCAAGGCAGATTAGGGAAGGCAAGCCCTGAGAGCCACAGGTAACCAATCAGGAGTTGCACAATCAGGCCTGGAGCAGCACCTGGGCCTGTGTGGCCTTCCTAGGACCTACCTGGATTGATGGTGCTCCCCACAGCATCCTTTCTTATTTTATTATGATGGCACGGGTGGCCAGCATATGCATTGTTATAGATGCTCATATTAAAAAAATATTATAAATGTATACCATTCTCTTCTACAATGAAATGGTGCTTATTCCCAAGTAAATGTATCCAGGAACGGGGCAGCAGCCAGAGAAGCAAACTTCATGTTATTCCTGTAATCATGATGCTGATAATTTACTGAAATTAAAATGCAAACTCTCCTAGGATTTTTTTAAAAGCACCCTTAGCAAAGAGCTCTAACATATCAGGAATAATTTTAAATCATGGAATAGTGGTGGCTTGCATAAGGGAAACATCACTGCACATGGCTAACCAAAAGGAGCTCTCAGTTTGCACCTACATATTCGTGTCCAAGGTCTAAAATTACCTAGTTGCATCACAGCACATGCATTTTACACCTGATTTCTTAATCCACATCTTCTCGAGAGATCAGTCTCTCATGCTCTCATGTTCTTAAAAGGGTTGTAATCCAATAATTTGAGCCTATGCCTGTTTTTATCCAAGGTGCATGCATGCCTACACTCCCAAAAGGTGGCAGTTTACCCTCTCCTCTTTCCGCTTCCCACTGATAAGACCAAGAAGACTTGGATCGTTTGAGGTCTAGGTGCTTGTGCTACCAGTGCCCCAGTATGGTGAGATGGTTAGAGGGGAATCCAGGTTCCAGTTCACACCAAACCATGACCTCACTAGGAGACTTTGGGCCAGTTACAGACTCTGTGGAAGCTGCCTTGGGTCCTAAGAGGAAGAAAGGCAAAATATTAATGTAACAGTTGTAATATTTGTTACAACTCGTTCTGATTCTTGCTGGTTCTTCACTGGTTCTTGCATCATTTCAAGTGCATTCCCATGCATATTTAGGCAGAAAACAAGTCCTGTATCTCCCAGCATTCCCCAGCTAACAAGCAATGCATAAGCTTCCGCCCGAAACGTAAAAGTTAATTCAGTATGGCTTGATGGGACCGATCGCTGCATGATCAGACCAGTTAAAAACAGAAAAAGCAAAACTAGGCAACCCCGATCGTCTCCTCCTCTTCAGTCCGCCTCTGCGTGTTCCGCGGGAGAGACTTCACCGCAGGAACGAGGCGCTTCTGCCGTGGGATACTCTTTCCAAAGGCACCGGAGCACGCGGGCTGCCCGGGGCCCCACTTCCAATGCCCCTCTGGAAGTTCAGGGAGCGGCGGCGCCGCCACCAGCCCCGGGGGAAGCCCGAGCGCGTGGCGGGGATGACGTCCGCCTCCCGCGGAAAGGAGGCGTGCGCGCTCATGGCAGCCCGAACGGGCTGGACGCTCGCTCGCTCGCTCTTGAGCGAAAGGACTACAATTCCCGGCAGGCCCTGCAAGGCAGCGAGCATCTCTGCCGGCATCCTCCTGGGCGAACGGAGGGGTGGCTTGGCGGCCGGGAGACCTGCTACCTGTCGCGCCTTTGTGCGAAGTATGTCCCGCGGGCTCGCGTGGGGTCCACTCCCAAGCAGGGCGCAGCCTCCGTGGCTGGAGATGCTACGGGCGCGGGTGGGGAGAGGAGTTCCTCATGAAACCGACGCGGGAAGCAGCCGCATTGGAGCCACCTCTCCTCCATGCCGCCCTTTTTCGGCTCATGTATGGCCCAAGAGCTCCAGTTCCGTTTAATTGCCGACGGTCGCCCCTTGAGCAGCACTTTCGGCAAGCATGGCGGTGGGGGGATGCTCAACGGGAAGCTTCCCGGGAAGCGCACGCAAGGACTGCAGCGACGAGGATGACTGCGAAGTGGACTCTAGAGGCGGCTTGTCTTCTCATGATCACACGCGCCTTGGCGGGGGAAATAGAAACTCTTGGGGAAGCCTTCACTTTCCTTGTGCATGTTTAGAGAGAAAGGAACCCTAACCCTAAACCTGCTAGGAGTGCCCCCGTAATGACTGAGGGGCCGAAACGCATTTTTTTAAAGCTGCGCCAGAAGTGGTAACTTGTGTTCCTTTTTAGGCACAGACACAGGGATCCCGCTCATAAAAGCCCTCTTACCCTCCTTCCCCAGGGTCCTGATCGGGTTCTGGAGCTCTGCTCTCGAGTAAGACCGAACAACAGCAATGAAAAGTGTAGCTGCTAGGCTTACATTTAAAGCAATGTCCGTCGTTGCCCTAATCGCAGCCTAAAGGTGGGGCAGCGCCTGGCCAAGCCTTGCGCATCTCAGACTGAGAAACATTTCTTCTGAAAGCCTGAGTCCTGCAGTCAACCTGCTCATATGCTATGAGAGCTGCACTGACCATTGTGTGCCAGCTTTGCATGTTTACTTAATAAAATTGGTTCTGCCGGGAGTGGGGCTAGCATGGAGATACATTTTCTACAAAAGTGGGGAGTGTTGAATTCATATGTTTGGCCTTCAAGAAATCCTGAGTACTTCGGACTGCCAGATATCCAGCTAGCCCTTGGAAAGAAACCATAATAGCTAAATGGGCCTTGGTGGTGGCAGCAGGCCTTTGAATCTCAGGTGCCAGGGTCATGTAATATGTAATGGGGAGGTCGGCCATGCTCACGTGTGCAAGGCCTTCTCATTAGGTGGCATCCGTTAACAGTTGGCTTGTTTTATTACAGTGACGTATAAAACTTCCTGAGACACAAATTTGCAAGATCACAGAACGAAAATGGATGATCATATAGAGGTATGTTATAAAACTAGAGTTATTTTGTTATATATGCACTTTTGAGCTGAGAGTTGCAATCCTGTGCCTGCTTACCTGGGAGCAAGTCTCAGCTGAGAATTTTCTGGAGGAGTAGCTGCATCTGATGAAGTGGACTCTGGTTCTCAAGAGCTTAAGCTAGAATAAAAGCATTGGTCTTTAAAGGCAGCACATGACTTCTTGTTGCTTTTCCTTTAAACAGGCATACATAGGGTTGCACTATATACTTCATTTTGTTGAAAACAAACTTGATAATAATTTGACAAGTTAACTAGCAAATGAGTTAACTTGTTTTATTGCAGTGACTTAACAGTAAGACTCTTACTAGTACGTGCTACTGCCCATGTTAGTCATCTGTAGGCTAAAAGGAAGGACTTTTTATAAAGCTCATTTGCTTGGTATTTACAAGTCTTGCTCTACAATATTAATGATATAACTAGATGCCAAGTTTGTGGGACATTTCAAAACATATGGGTCTTTTCATGCACACTGGAAAATTAAAACAATGGGCTGATTAATGTGACTTATTCCTAGAGAATCTGAAATATACTGAAAAAAGAGAGAACTAAATGATATGTATAAGTATTTGCCTGAATTACAAGAACAATTTACCTTGCATTGTTTAATGCAAAATACCATGGTAGTGTATTTTGTGCATGCATGTTGGAAATGTGTTTGTTGACTTCAGTATTTCTCTCTGTAGACCAATGTGAAAATACCTTTTGGAAGCAAATACCTAGATGCTGTTTTCTCCATTCCTGACAAGATACTACCATATGCTGTGATTCTCACCCATGGAGCATCTGGCAATATGAATTTCTCGCACCTCATATCTTTGGCAAACTACCTTGTGTCTCATGGCTGTCTCTGCCTGCGATTTACCTGCAGAAGCCTTAACATTTTCCATAGAGCAAAAGCATATAAAGCAGTTGTGGTAAGAGCTTGTTTTAGTTCAAGAAATTTGAGGTGCATTATAGAACACTAAATTGCCAAGTATTCCATATGTAGTCTCACTCAGTCAGCACAGAGACTTTATATGTAGGCTGAGTTGGATCTGTTTCCATACAAGTTAGACCAAACTTGCTATTCTATACAATTTATCCAAAGCATTTATTTGTTAATTAAATTAAAAATCTATTGAGGCAGCATTTTGCTGTGCATATCTTCTTACGGATTGCACTTATTTTATGGTTAAATAAGATATTGTTTACTTGTATTTATATTCTGCACAATATTGTTTTCTTAACTGTAAGATAATTTCCTGCAACAATTAAAAAAATATCTTTTTTAAAAGGAATATTTAAGATCATCGAGTGATTACAAACTTGATGGTGTTTTTCTTGGAGGTAAGAAAATTTGAGGGTCCTTTAATGGCTATTTGCATAAACAAATAAATAATGGTTTCCTGCTAAATTTCTGGAAGTTAGAAACAGAGAAATATTTTTGAATAAGGCAAGAAATTTCACATTTTAGAGCCTTTGGCTACATATGAATGAAGTGTTAGGATGCAGGTTTTAAGGCCTGATATATTTGTATTGTTTGCTACATCAACCATAGTCTAAAAAAGGCATACTTTTGCTCTCAAACAGCTCAAATACCATCAACATTCTATCACCAAACCCTTAATGGAAGAGCTGCACCACCAACTCACTAACCAGCATATAATGAGTAGTTTTCAGTGTTTGCATGGTAGGTGCTTGTTCTCAAACTACCCACAGTCTCTCAACAGATAATTTCACTGACGGTGGATTGTCTCTTTCCCCTTGGTCCTTCCATGAGTATCCTAGGCAGCTCTGTGGCAGGAAAGTGCAAACCATCTCCTTTTAAAGGAACATAGAGAGGTTTGACCGTTTTGACACTCAAAACTCCAGTCCATTTTAGAAGGGCTTTTTCGACAGGTCTACCCATGGTTTTTGACAGGGTCATATATATAGGCATATGCACTTGCATAAGTCTGACTAAAACAGTTTTAAAAGTGCAAGAACAAATTGCACACTTGGTTGGTGCTAAATTTATTTTTAAAGGGTGATGAGTAAATGGCAACCCTCCCAGTGTGCTGCTTGAGCATTTTGAAGGGGCCACCACTAGCTTGCAGCTTGGAGATAACAAAAAGCAGTCTGAAGGGAAAATGGAAAGTGAAATGGACAAAAATTTCTCATGAGTGGAGATAGGCGTGCAGGGGACTCTGAGCCAGTGACAGATGCCCCAGATTGTCACATGAGGTTTCTCTGGGGGCTGTCACAGGTGGTGGACTGGGCAAGTGGCAAGGGGTTTTGTAGCTCTTGCCCAGTGGCTTTCTGGGAGCTTCCAGATGTTTTCAGTTTGGTCAGGCATCCAGGTTTGAATGATATAACAAGCGTTGTGGGTACAACAATGCATAAAACAAGCCATAGGCTGTCAGGGTGGCTTCTTATCCACAGTCAAACCACCCTGTGGGAAATAGTCTGGGCTCATACAACATGACAACCCATCTGGCTTGCCATCCATAATGACTTACCGTGTTTAATGAACCAGACCACTCCCATTCACAGACACTGTATTGGTCTCGTGGCAGCACTTATCCTTACATTTATGTCCAGTTTTCAGGTCAAGAAACAAAAAACAAATACTCAATGTTTTTGGAATTACAGGCTACACTGTAGTGATGTTTATTGCCTTAATCCACATAATTCTCTTCTCCTCTCCCCGGAGGGGATCGCCTGGCACCAAGTTTAAACTCTTTTCGGTGCTGGGTCAAAACCTTTTTCTTTAATTGTTATTTTAAAAACTAATAATATTAATGGTCAACAGTCACTTTTTATTTAACTTATTTAATTTATATTTTCTGGTTATTTGTTATTTATTATATTGATACGGTTGTTTTATTGTGTTTTTGTTTTAATGATTGTAAGCCGTCCTGAGATGCCATGCATAAGGGACTGCATATAAAAGTTTTAAATAAATAAATAAAATAGTACTCTAAGTGTTAGGCAATTATAAGTTGTTTTCTTATGCAAGAACATGTGAAAGCTTTTCCTTTTCTGCCCTGATTCCCCATGTGTATATAGGTCGTTCAATGGGTTCACGTGCTGCAGCTTCTGTTACACGTCAAGCTGACCAAGATAATGATAGCTTTGTTCAAGGCCTGATATGTTTGTCCTACCCACTGCATCGACCAAAGCTTCAGACTAAGCTTCGGGATGAAGATTTATTGTTTATTAAGTCCCCTGTGCTATTTGTGTCTGGAACTGAAGATGAGATGTGTGATAAAGTGAGTTCCTAGATGCACTGAACAGTAGTTGAAATGACAGCCTTACTTAAACATGCAAGAATGATTTGTTTTCAAACACTGATTTGAAGGGAACTTCAGGCAAGGGGTTTGCATGGCTAAGTGACTACCTAGAGATAAATGTCAGGCGAGAAGCTGTCACTTTTTTGGCAGAGACTTTCCTCCTTCCTGTTTCTAAATATATTTCTTTGTAGTGATTTACTCATCTTTGTGAATCAGATTCAAGTAAAAGCACATTCTACCCCCGTCTGAATTGCCTAGTTTGCCTCTAAAACAAAACATACAGCATGTTTGTGCAAAAGGCATAAGTTTTCACATCTTTCCTACTGCAGCTAATACTCACTTTCGTTGGCAGAGGCATGATATGTTTTCTAGAAACAAGCCTTTATTTATTTGCATTGTTTCCATTTTTTTTCCTTCAAGAAGCCTAAGGTGGTGTATATGGTAGTTTTCTCTTACTTCCAATTTAATCCTTACAACAACTCATTGTGGTAGGTTACGCTAAGGGTTCATGATTGGTTCCAGGTCACCTAGTGAGCTTCATGGTTGAAATTTGAACTTGCAGACCTAGTTAGTCACTGCAGACATCAAGATGCTCTGGTTTTATGCACCAAAGAACATGTGTGATATCCTTGTCCTTAATCTTGCATGTATTTAGAAGTTGTTGTCCTGAGGACATTTCTTCCTCTTGTGATACTCTTCCTTAGTGATACTCTGGAAAAAGAAACATATGACTCCACCATGGAGGAAGAAACTCCCTCTGCCAGTGGTGTTGTTAAACTACAATTCTCATCGGTCATTATTGCTTACGTGCTGTGCAGTCTAACAGCATCTGAAGGAGCACAAGTTGTCCATCCTTGCCCTGTAATATGGTCAGACCTAGCAATTAACTTATCCAAGTAGTATTACTTCCTTTTGGAATCAAATTAATAATGGCTCAGACAGCAGCGCAGAGAATGTTGGCTCTTGAATGGTATAGAATGTAATCAATAAATATTGTCTCTTCTCTGTTTTAATAGCAACTGTTGGAAAGTGTTGCAGTCAAAATGCAAGCATCTACAAAAATCCACTGGATTGAAAAAGCAAATCACAGCATGGCAGTGAGAGGACGAACCGCAGATGACATTTTGTTGGAAATAAATATGCAGGTTTTGTCTTGGATCAAAGAAATCACTGTGTAAGAACTCAAGCAATTGCCAAATACCAAATAGCATCTGCTGTGTACAAGCAATTAGTAACACATTTTTCTAAGAATGAAATGTTTTGATTGGCTCAAGAGCAATGCTGTTACAAATGAAAAACCTGGATCACTGTAATTTCACTGAGGCAGATTATACATTTTGTCTTAGATACTTTTTTTGGTATTTGATAATCATATCGATGATTCCTGAAAAAATAAACTCTTCATATATTTACTATAATTTTCTAGTATTCCACATTTCTTTTATACATCAGTTTCCCTTTGAAAAAGATAGTTTATGTTGCATATCTTGTTTCCCCTCTCATGTGAAGGTTAGCAAAGTGGTACCATGTTGCTGTAAAACATGGTAACTTCATAGGTGGCACTATGAACTGTCATATTAGTTAGATGAGATGTGTGTAATTTGTCGATGTGTTGAATTAAAAAGTGAATAAATGTAAAACAACTTTTGAAAATACATTTTACTTCATTTTTTCTATTTCTTTTGTTTATATCTGGTTATTTCTAAATGTAAGATTTGTCTTTCTAGCAGCTATAATATTTTAGTTAAAACATATTTATGCAACATGCTATATACATAATGTTTGTACTGAAAACTAAAAGTATCTTGTATACCTGCTGTGTGAGGCAGGTGTTCCCAATCTGATGCCCTCCAGCTAGATAGCATCAAGTTATAATTCCCATCATCCCCAGACAGGATTTTCTCCCACTCCAACATGCATACTAGTAAAGTATCAGGTTGGGGAAGGCTGGCTAAGGGAATGGAAATTAAAAGAGTTGTTAGTGAGATTCGGAGTTAGTCTGAACTGGGTAGCTATCAGTCTTTAGTCTTTATTTACCTATACCTCTTTCTTTCCACCATAGTGCTCCATGCAAAATTAACAAGTAGATAGCAGTAACTTACTCATTGGTGAAGTCGTGCCCGAACACGAACAAAGCATACGCGAAGAGTAAGCATACCCACAGATAGTGCAACTGGGGTATGATCCAGAAAATGCTTGAGTGCACATTACTCAAAATGTTTGCAGAGCACCTTGATGAAGTGAAATGTACATTAACAATAACTTATTTTGGCAAGCACTGTAGGAATCCATGTGAAGCCTTTGCATTTGGTCCTATAGAGGGATAGCTCCAGACAGAAAACATGCATTGTAACTCTTGACTTCAAAACAAGTCTGTAAAAAGCATGCCTTTGTCATGGTCCTTGAAAGGACTCATAATACTTTTTATTCAGGTTTTAAAAACTGAATTGCTGGTCTTTTAGTCAGGCTTCAGTGCCATTTGGTAACGGGAAGCCCAGTGCAGTTCATCCCCAGTTCACATGAAAGGGACTCTTATTGAACAGCTGTTACAAACAAGAAATGTGAAAAAGAATACTGAATTAAACAAGCTTATTATAAACCCTGCTAACCAGCGTGCTTGCAAAGAGCTGGCACAGTTTTATCAAATGGCAGCCAGTTACAGTTATGTCTTTAAAAGGCCAGCTGTAATTTTTTAACCTTTGAAGGAATTTTTGCTACGCTTCTTAAGGATATATGTAATGCAGCATTGTTAAATGCTAAAATACCAAATACTTGGACAGAGGCAAATATCACATTAATACCGAAAAAAGACATGGACTTGACGCAGATCCAAAATTATAGACCTATATCACTATTAAACGTGGATTACAAAATGTTTGCCTCCATAAATGGCAGAAAGATTGAAGAAGTATCTAACGGACTTTATTCACTCAGATCAAAATGGTTTTTTACCTAAAAGACAAATGAGGAATAACTTGAGAACTATCCTGGACATCTTAGAGTATTATGAGATACATATGGAAAAACCAATGGCACTATTATTCATGGACGCGCAGAAGGCTTTTGACAATGTTAACTGGCAATTTATGAAGCAACAGCTAGCTCAAATGGAGTTTGGTGAAAAGTTTATTAATGCGATATCAAGCACCTATCAAAAGCAGTCTGCTAGGATTATAATCAATGGAGAATTTACAAATACTATAGATATACAAAAGGATACAAGACAAGGATGCCCGCTATCACCTCTGTTGTTTCTATTGATCTTAGAAGTGCTAAACAGAAATAACAGGGACGATATGCACATTAAAGGTACTAGAATCAGAGATGAAAGCTATAAACTGCAAACATTTGCAGATGATCTAGTTTTCATAATGGAGGAACCCTTAGTAACAATGCCTAAACTCCTACAAAGGATTGAAGAATATGGTGAGGTTACTGGGATGAAAATAAATAGAGAAAAGATGAAACTGTTAGTAAAAAATCTCACACAGGAGCAGAGAAAAACTCTGGTGGAACATGTAGACTTTCAGATTGTTAAAAAGGTTACATATTTGGGAATTTATCTTACAGCCAAGTGTACCACTCTGAAAGAAGACAATTATGATAAACTATTTAAGGATATTAAGAGTGATTTGGAAAAATGGACTAATTTGCAACTATCCTTGCTGGGGAGAATAGCACTAGCTAAAATGAATATATTACCAAAGCTTTTGTATCTATTCCAAATGATTCCCATAAAAATTGATAGAAAATTTTTTGATGATTTAAATTTTCAAATCTCAAGATTTATATGGAGAAAGAAGAAACCAAGGATCAAACTAAAAGTACTTCAGGAGGCTAAAGAGAATTGGGGCTTTGGTCTCCCTGATTGGATGCTGTACTAGCTTCTGTTTTAATGTGGTTAGAAGAATGGATAACTTTAAGAAATAAGAGAATCTAGTATCTTGAAGGGCATGATTTGCAAATGGGTTGGCATGCTTATATGTGGTATGAAAAGGCTAAGCTACATGGCTCTTTCTTAAGTCACTAAATTAGAAAATCATTAATGTCGGTGTGGGAAAAGTTAAAGACAAAATTGTATAATAAACTGCCAAGATGGCTTTCACCCATGGAAGCTCTTGTGTATCCAAATGCATTGAATTTTGAAGGGATCATAAGATATGACAACATTCTGGATAATGATGGAGGATTGAATCAAGAAACACAATATTTCTTGGTGGCATAAGGTGCAGATACAATCGAGATATGCTAAATGTGGGGCTTTTATAAAGATTTAACAGCATTTGATCAGGTGATGCTTAAATCATGATTAAAAGATGATATAATTTCTTACTTGATAGGAGAATGGAAGATGAACAGGTATGGAATGGAAGATAACAAGGAAACTATGATAAAGTGGGCACAAAACTTTGGATATAATATTGAATTAGAAAAATGGCAAAAGCTATGGGAGAGAAATATTAAGGTAACATTAGCAACTTCATATAAAGAAAACCTGTATAAAATGTTTTATAGATGGTATTTGTCGCCAAATAGACTAACCAAGATGTTTCCAAGTATGTCAAATGGATGTTGGAAATGTTAACATAAATTGGGTACCTTCTATTATATGTGGTGGACTTGCGATAAAGCAAAAAAGTATTGGATTAAAATACATAAATGGCTTGAGGAAATGTTACAAAAATCCTTAGCTTTTAAACCTGAAGTTTTCTTATTAGGCATTATACCTGTTGATATTAGTAAACAAGAAATGTACTTGATTTTACATGTAATTACTGCAGCGAGGATTGCATTTGCCCAGCACTGGAACAGTGAAGAACCACCCACCGATGAACGGATCCTAAAAAAGATCTTGAACTGTGCAGAAATGGACAGATTGACTTTGTCATTGAAGGAGAAAGAAGATACTGATTTCTATCAAACTTGGGACTCTTTTTATTGGCTAGAGAAACAGGACTTCATACAGATTTAGGTATGTTTTTAAGTTACCATAAATAGAAAAAATGTGGGGGCTGACCCAGCAGGTCCAATGTTTCTGATGATTGTTGTTTTTAGTTTTTCTTTGTATTAGGATTTTGAATAAAATTTTTCTCCTTTATCTTGTTAGCCATCTTCATAAAGCAGCTTAGAATCCATTCCACACAGTTTTATTGAAATGTAGCAGGTGGATAATTAACGTGGCTGACCCCATAAAACAGCAGTTGGTTGTCACGCATGGTCTGTGTTTGGCTGAGAATAAAGAGAGTGGAGGACAGGTTTGAAACTCGTGCTTTTCAAGTTGTTGCCCTTATATTTTACATGTTGTGAGATATCACCAATTGAAAAGCACTACTCTGTATTCCACTTCAGAGATGACCCTTGTTTGTTCTCACCTGCCTAGCTGGTGTTTAGATGCATGGCAAGGGTGGACAGGGGAATGCTCTGTTAATAACAGACACAGACTTTTTGCTGTGCCTCTGGTTCTCTGCATCAGGGGCAAGGTGTGAATAGCATTAACAGAACCATTTCCTGAGTGTGCAATAAAGATATCCCTGAACTCATCAGAGGTTTTAAGAGACTCATTTCAGAACTGGTCAGTTACCCTACCCAGACCAAATAGCTATTAATTTTGATCTACAACATTGGAAAAAATAAACTAGGGCTTTTGCCAGTTCTTTGAAGAACTCGGTATGGTATGAGGTGTGAGTACAAATAAGAACGCACAGATTTGTATGATGCTTATTTTAATAAGAAACTGCCTCATTATCTAATTGTAATCCATTTTTCTGGGTTACCATTTTAAACATGGTGCACACAATTTCATTTTTTAATGTTAATGAGGGCACAGGTTGCCTATTCTATCCCTAGAATACAATACTGAGCTTTAGTCTTTGTACCTGCAATAATGATATTGACTTCATTGGGAACAATATATATTTTAGGAATACAGATACAAATTAGGGAGTTGTTAATTTACATATTGACCTGGTTTGCATGGGATCCTGGGTTTAACGATCTGGGTTTAACGATCCAGGAACTGACATAGCTGAATGGAAGCAAGCAAATTCATTGCCATTTCCAATTTCAATCAGCTTTCTGTTCCTGGGTTGTTGTCATGACATGCAAACATGACAGTCTGGTTTGTATATCATATTTAGTGTTAAACCCAGAGATTTAAGCCAATGACAAACCATGGGTTTAAAGTCTGGGTTCTTTAACCTTAACCCAGAATACTAGATTTGCACTTCATGGCAAGAACCCAGGAATGGGATATTGCCCCTGAGTTTCAGAGGTGGGAGATAGCACACATGCATGCTCACAAAGAACCCATGGTTTGTTAATCATAGTTTGCTTGATTTTGCAAACTGGACTGCTGTAGCTTGGATTGTAAATGAAGACAAAAAACCAATACTTTTCTTAAAATAAAAATACAACTTTATGGAAAGAATATTTATTTTAAAAAATTATAAAAAACAGTATTGTAGGAATACAGCACAATAGAAGGCATTCAAACTATTGCACCCTTAGTTTTTTATTCAAATACAAATATAGGCAAATATTGCAAGCAACTTTTCCCTTCTTCCATTAAAGTTCCTCTTTTACCTGTAAATAAGAAGAATACATAGCTGTTGGTAATTTTACTATGAAGGCAGTCCTAAAATTCTGCTTTACTTTAATGCTGTTCTAACCAGGCTGTTCTGCTATGCAAAACCCCTTTCTGTGTAGATTCTTGTACAGACAGGAAACGCAGAGAAGAATAAGTTCTGATTAATGGATTCTGCTGGCCAGTGGCTATTTCAAGCTACTAGAATGCATCATAGCTGCTTGTTTGAATGTGAATAGAAAGGATACATTTGTACATTTGAAGTGGGAGTAAAGGTGTACATCTCTAGATTTTGCGGCTGCCTGAGATAAGCCACTAGAGCTTCAGGGATGCTTCTGTTAGAGTGGGACAGATGGTTCTCTGGGACTACTGCTGCTTTGTCTGCTATCTACTCAGCTATGTATCTATAGACAGATAACATCCATTCCATAACCTGTGTTTACTTCTATAGTTCATGTCAGCCCCTCAGGGATGTCAAAAACTGCACACATGGTGGAATTCATTCTTGCTACCGTGCCGTTACTACTTTCCACTCCTGCCCATCTTTGGGGCCATAGCCCTTTGTGGCATGAGGTGCACAGGCATGTTCAGTGTTTTGATCCAGAAGCTGGATTGTGAAGATTGTGACTTCTGTGTCAAAAAGGCAGGTTGCTTACCTGTAACTGATGTTCTTCGAGTGGCCTCTGTGCAGTCATACATATGGATGCTGTGCCTGCGCAGTGCCTAGGCCGGAAGATTAAAAAGCTAACGGTTTTTGGTGGGAAAATTCCGCTCCCCTCCCCCTTCATGGTATAAATAGAGCGGAGTGTCCGCCATTTTGTTCAGTCTTGAAGACCGAACGTTCGCCCTCTACAGGTTAAGAATAAAATTAGTTGCAAACGGCATTGAGCCCCAACAGTACCGATGCAAAGTATAGTACGGTACTGAGAACAATATCCACTCACCGGCATTTACCATTGGTACCGATGCAAATTACAGCGTGGTACTGAGGCAGTATGTAATGATGGACACCGAATGGGGCTGGTGGGTGGGTTGTGTGACTGCACAGATGGCCACTCGAAGAACATCAGTTACAGGTAAGCAACCTGCCTTTCTTCATTGTGGCCTCTGTGCATCACACATATGAGTGATTAGCAAGCTTACCCAACTTGGAGGAGGGAGGTGTCATCAGCGAAGAACGGACGAAAGAACAGCTCTGCCGAAAGAGCAGTCCTGCCTGGCGCGCACATCAAGCCCATAGTGCTTGGCGAAAGTGCATGGCCCTGACCACGTTGCAGCTTTACAGATATCTTGGAGTGGGACCCCAGCGGCAAAGGCAGACAAAGTCGCAACAGCTCGTGTGGAGTGACCCCTGGGGGTAACGGGTAAGTCTATTTTTGATAGTTGATAGGCCAGGACAATAGTCTGGGTGATCCAGTGCGACAGCCTTTGAGGTGTGACTGGAAGTCCTTTGTCATGTTTGGAGTACTTAACAAAGAGTCTGTTCGTACGACGGAGGGATTCCGTACAGGAGCGATAGAAAGCCAGGCAGCAGCAAACATCAAGGGTATGTAGAGCCCGCTCTATTGGATTCGACGGCGCTGGAAAGAAGGCTGGCAGAACGATACCTTGACTCAAGTGGAATGGTGTAGCCACTTTAGGAAGAAAGGAAGAATCCATACAAAGAACAACCTTTTCCTTATGGAAATTAAGATATGGAGGGTCTATGCGGAGAGCAGGAAGTTTGCTTGCTCTCCAAGCTGATGTCACCGCTATGAGGAAAGCTGTTTTCTAGGACACCAGGCGTAGGTTGACAGTCGCCAGTGGCTCAAACGGAGATTTGGTAAGTGCTTGGAGTACAACCGAAAGGCTCCAGGTTGGCATAGGAGGGCGAATAGAAGGGTGTAGGTTCTGTAACCCCCAAAGGAAACGTCGAAGTAGAGGTTGAGAGAAAACTGAAATCCCTTGAAGTGCACCACGATAGTGTGAAATAGCGGCTACATAAACTTTAATGGATGACGGTTTCAGTCCCAAATGATAAAGTTCCAAGAGAAATTGTAAAATATTGTCAATTGAGGCCATTCCAGGAGAAAAAGAATGGCGTTCTGCAAAGGAGGAAAATCTCTTCCATTTAGCCGCATAAGAGTGACGAGTGGACGGTCTTAGAGCAGATGTGAGAATCGCCTGAATTTCCTGGTCAACAGTCACCGGTAGCAAAGCAGTTGTCGTTGAAACCGACCTAGGGGCCGTCGGTACAGTGGAGTGAATACATTCCGGTAGAGGTTCGGATGTCGTCGGTACCGACGCAGCAGAATGACTCAAGTGATCCGCCATGCTGTCAACCACAAGGCAGTCAGATCCGGATGTCGGATCGCTCCATTTTGCTGCGTTAATAGCTGAGGAATAGATGGGAGGCGAAGAAATGTCCCTTTGGATAGACGAAGAAGGGTGGCGAACCATGGTTGTTTCGGCCACCATGGAGTTATTATTATTCCTGTGGCATTCTCTTGAGATATCTTTGCTATCATTTTTGTTAGAAGTGGAATTGGGGGAAACGCATAAAAGGCTATGTTGTCCCAGGGGATCATAAGGGCATCTCCCATCGATCCCGAGCCTATGCCTGCCCTGGAACAGTATAGGGCACATACTCTGTTGTCGCAAGTGGCAAACAAGTCCAAGTCCGGATAGCCCCACAAATGGAAGAGGTCGTAGCATATTTGTCTGTCCATCTCCCATTCGTGCGTTGTTGACGTATGTCTGCTCAACATGTCTGCTTCAGTGTTGTCGGTCCCTGCGAGGTGGACTGCTAGAAGCATAATGTCCCTCGGTATGCACCAGTCCCAAATGGCCATCGAGAGACGTGCTAAAGGTAGCGATTTTGTGCCGCCCTGTTTGTTGATGTAGAAGACAGCCGGTATGTTGTCCGATGCAATCTGGACAACTTGTTGGCATAGGACAGTCTCAAAAGCCCCTAGGACGTTGAAAATCGCCTGTAGTTCGAGGACGTTGATGTGCTTCTTTGCTTCCTGTTGGTTCCAAGTTCCCTGAACCTGAAGGTCCGCACATGTTGCGCCCCATCCAGTAGTGACGCGTCTGTATACAGGGTCTTCGTTGGATGAGGTGTTCGGAACGGGACACCGACAGACAGGTTGCTCGGAATGGTCCACCAAATTAGAGTGTTGAGTATCACAGACGGAATTCGGATCAGTTTGTTGGGAGAATCTCGCTGTGGGCAAAATGACGTGTTGAAAAACAGCTGCATGGTCCGCATCCATAGTCTGGCATACGGGACAATGGCAACTGTAGCAGCCATGTGCCCCAATAGTCTCTGAATAGATAAAGCCGGAACCGTTCCTAGCGTTCGGATTTGATGGATGTGGGCACATAAGGTAGCGAGATGGTCCAGAGGGAGGAAAGCTCTTTCCCGTGTGGAGTTGAGACATACCCCGATAAAGTCGATGACCTGCGTGGGAATAAGGGATGATTTTTCGTGGTTAATACATAGTCCAAGATCATCAAACAAGGCACAGGTCATGTGTATTGCAGACAGAAGCCCTTGTTTAGTTTGGGAGACAATTAGCCAGTCGTCTAAATATGGGTATATTTGCACTCCTCTTGTCTGTAAGTGCGCACATACTGGTGCCATACACTTCGTAAAAACTCGAGGGGCGGTGGCCAGGCCAAAGGGTAGCACAGCATATTCGAACAAGTCGAGCCCAACAGTGAAACGCGGGAAATGTCTATGTGAAGGATGGATAACAATATGAAAATAAGCATCCTTCAAATCTAAGGAGGCGAACCAATCCTCTCTCTTCAGTAATGGAAAAATATTCTGTAAAGTGGTCATCCAAAACTTGTTTGTTTTGATGTATTTGTTAAGATTCCGTAAGTCCAAAATCGGACAAAGACCACTGTCTCTTTTCGGGACCGTGAAGTATCTGGAGTAGAATCCGTGCAATCCCTCCAAGCGGGATAGTTGTCGAATCGCGCCCTTGCAAAGCAACTGAGAGACTTCTTTGCACAGTACCGATGAAGAAAATGTAAATCAAATCGGACACGGTGGAGGGACGACATCAAATTCTATCCTATATCCGAACTGAATGATAGACAACACCCACCTATCAGATGTAATGGACTCCCAAATGGGGAGTCGGCCCTGGAGCCGGTCCCCAAAAGGGAGAGGGAAAGGTGGTGTGGGGAGAGAGAGAATGGTTCGCCCGGACCATCAACGTGGACATTTGTCAGCATCGAAGCGCCGCCGGCCCTGGAGGAAACGTTGCTGCGGCTGTTGTCTTCGCCGTTGCTGTCTTTGTTGGTAGTGTTGCCGAGGGTGGAATTGTGGATGGTAAGAGGAACGAGGCCCTTGCCACTTACGCCTCTGTTGAGGAAGCTCCATGCGGCACGCGGTCATACGCGATTCGTGTATCACTTTTAACTTGAAGTCGGTTTGCTGATGGAATAACCCGGTACCGTCGAATGGCATTTCCTCGATCCTCCATTTCATCTCGTCGGGGAAATTGCAATTACGAAGCCATGCATGTCGGCGCAGCGAGATGGCATTCATGAGAGCTCTCGAATTGGTATCTACGTGATGTCGTGCGGTAGATAATTGCTGCACTGCTACCTGCATAGCTTCCTTGATGAATACCCTGGCAAGCTCGGCTTGGCGGTCTGGAAGGGAGGAAGCAACGTTATCCAGTTTTTGCATAATGAAATACTGGTAATGTGCCAGTGTTGCTTCATAGTTTGATAAGCGCACGCCGAGTCCAGAGGCCGCATAGACTCAGCGGGCGAGCATATCGATCTTCCTCCCTTCCTTGTCGCAAGGGGCTATGTGTCCTCTGGACTCCCTGCCCTGGGTGGATTCAACGACAACAGAGTTCGGGCGTGGATGGTGAATCAGGAATGGAATGTCGTCCTCCAGAACTCTGTACACGGCCTCATACCGACGGGAGGTCGCTTGCGGTTGGGCCAGTTGATCCCAGGGTTGGACCATAGCCTGCCGAAGTGTGGTAATAAGCGGCAGGACTATGGCCGCGGACTGTTCTCCCCTCACGACATCATAGAAGTGATCCGTGGATGGGCCCGGCTGTTGACTAGCCTCAATCTCTAGTGAACGGACGAGGTAGGACATGAGCTCCGTAAAGGAGACATGTGGCTCATCGGGCGATGCCGGTCCTTGGGAGGCGACTGCTACATCCGGGGATGTAGAGTCAACCTCGGATTCGTCTGAATCCAGATAATAAAGTGGACGGTCACTCGAAGACGACATTTCTGGGGAGGTTGGACGTCCCCTCTCCACATGCCTGGCCATCGAAGGTGAATCTCTTGGGGCCGATGGAGACGCACGATCCTGAGGGTAGTACGAATAAGATTGAGAGCCACCCCAGTCTGGGAAGGCACCATATCTGTGCATCCTTCAGTCGTCACCCCGGTATTCGGACGAGCGGCTGCGGCGCCTTGGAGGCGAAGGTGACTCCACAGGTGGCTCAGTCATGGGCACTGGAGTCGGAGACCATTCCCTCGGTGGGGAGTCTCTAATCTCGCCAGCAGAGATAGACTCCTGAAGTGGCTCCTCCACTTGTTGGGTCGGCATGCTCTCAGGCCAAATGAGAGGCCTGGGGGATCCCGGCGGTGTTACCTGCATAGTAAGTTGCAGGGCCGGTCCCAAAGGGGTCGGTACCGTGGCGGCGGACAGTACCGAAAAAACAGACAAACCCGAGCCCCGGTGTGTGGGGCGATCCGGTTTCTTGGTCTTGTGAGTGGGTTTATCTGCCTTCTCCTTCCTCGGAACTTTACGAGTGGAAGGCTTATCCGAACCTGTATGCTTGCGCTTCTCCCGTTTTTTGGCTGGGGAAGAAGGCGGCACCTGGGTCTCTGCTGGAGTAGTGCCTTCAGCTGAAGGATGCTGAGGAGGAGCGGTGGAAGCGGGACGCTTCGGAGGAGTGCTCACAGTTGGGGTGGAGCATGGAGGAGGCGGTGCTGCTGAAGAGGAACCAGGCCGTAAGAGCAGTTGGTCCGATTGCATCAAGGCCTGGTCCCAGAGGAGCTTGCGGAGACGGTTCTCCCTGTTCTTCTGTGCTTGCTTGGTAAAGGCCAAGCAATGGCCGCACTTGTCGGTTCTATGCCCCTCGCCGAGGCAGAGGAGGCATAGATCATGCGGATCCGCAGGTGACATTTTGGATCCGCATGCGGTGCATTTGCGAAAGGCCGCTCGCTGCGCCATTGTGGAAAAAGAAGAAAAGATGACAGGATAGAGGGTAAGATAATATTTTTTGTTTTTTTGTTTGTTTGTTTTTTTTTGAGAAGAAGAAAAAGAGAGGGATAAAGGCAAAAGGAACAGTAAGGACTCAAGATCTTAGCAAGGACGTTAACAGGCACGAGGCACAGCGAACAGTGGTCGCAAAGACTGAACAAAATGGCGGACACTCCGCTCTAGTTATACCACGAAGGGGGAGGGGAGCAGAGTTTTCCCGCCAAAAACCATTAGCTTTTTAATCTTCCGGCCTAGGCACTGCGCAGGCGCAGCACCCATATGTGTGATGCACAGTGGCCACGACGAAGAATGTGCCAAAACTAGAATACAGAATACGTCCAAGTGATTATTTTTTTTCTTCATATGTAACACATAACCCTGTGCTCTCTAGACCTACAAACTGGAGCTTTTTCTGCAGCCTCAGTGCTCTGGTTTGCTAAGTGCAACAGCTCAGCATAGCTTAATTTACCTACGGGGCGGTTGTGTTTTGCTGGGCACTAAAGGGGACCATTTTTGCACAACACCTGAGGGTGCTCAGCTTGCCAATTCATGTTTTGTTTTAGAGTTGTTTAAGTGCTTTTTCACCCTCAAAGAACCCGTGCCACCAGGATTCACACAACACAACCAGCCAGGTGTCCAGAGATGCCTATCGTGACATGACAGTGGGTGATTTAAGCCATGGTGGGCTGGTCATGATGTAACCTATGGGAGGTGCCCAGGTCTGATGACTTGGCAGCATTCAACTTGTATCCAGACAGGATCAGTAGTTTTCAATTACACTGCCAGAGTTATGAGACTTTCTCTTTCCTTACCCTGTTGTCCTGTGGAAAAGCAGCTAGGGAATCTCTTTTGGCACTTGTATTAAAATCTGTGTTCCCCAGCTCAGATTCTGAGCATGTGAGGTAGACAGTGTTTCTATAAAGTTAAATGTCTATAAAGGACACTCAGTAGACAGTTGCTGTAATGTTAACTTGCACATACTGTACCTGTTTTCGGTAACAGCTACAGGGAAAGAGGTCATCATCAGGCTGTTCCACTTTTTCCATGCCATCTCTAACTTTTGGGTCACTCACTTGTAATTTGGAATATTCCTAATTTGAAGTGAAAAAGTACTTTTTATTTTGTTCACTCAACTTTCACAGCCTGGGCATGATAAATCTGTAGCCAACAAATTGCCCATTGTGCCAAGAAACTTCTTGAAGACCATGAGATTCAATATCACAAGGGCTGTAAGCTGATATGGGCCCCATCTGGGGACTTGCTGAAATATCAGTATCTCCGTGTTAATGCACAGACATTTTCAGCTGTGTTTTGGGAGGGGCTTTCCAGAGCCAGGTTCTTTGATCTTTCCTGATTGCTGCTTTGAACAACATATCCCTCTATATTAGAAAGGGATTTGTGGGAATCTGGAATGCATCTTTAGCAAAATGCCAACTTTAATTTTTAGGGCATACCTTTCACACAGTGCTTACTTGCAGATCTCGATTATTAAACTATTAATGTTTTTAAAGCTGCCTTTAATCTGAACTGGCTGCCTTCAGATGTGGCTGAAAAAAGAATACTTTGAAATATTACTACAAGACCAACACTGGTCTATGCAACAGTGGTGGGACTGGAGGCTGTGAGAGTGCTTGTGCAGACTATGGGGAAAATTAATGCATTCAGGACTATGTAATACAAAAGATGGCACAAGGAGTGGTGCAGGATCAGAAGAAAGACTAATTTAGCATTCTGTCCCCACACTGGCCAATCAGCTGCCCATGGGAAACCCACAGGCAGTATTCATTGCAGTAAGTATTCAGACTGCACATACTGTCCCATACTTGCAGACTAGCACAATAACTACCATTCTTTATGTCTTATCTTTCTCTATTGCCCAATAGCCAATTTAGGCATGGTGTGCATTGATAGGAGAGTCTGAAATTACTACCACTGAGCCAATCTCAGTTTTGTGGGGAGATAATATAGGGGTGGAGAAAGGCAGAAATCATGTAGGCTTCCTTCAGCATCTCAAAGGAAAGGTGGTGTTTAAATGTAACTAATGAATACAGAACTGCTCAGGAAGGGGTGACCTGCATGTCAATATGGTGTGCACATTGCCTCCCTGGGAAATCTCTGATGGTGAGGGGCACAGGAGGAATCTAATGGAACATTTGCATTCCCACCAGTCCTTTTACACCCTGCCAGATCCATCGTGTGAGCAGACCCCACCATTTGCCCAAAAGAGGCTTTGTGGGCAATCTGAAATCAGAGGAAATGTTGGAATGCAGTATCTGTCCCAGATATGAGCATTTCTGCTAGTTTCAGAGCTCCCCCTAAGCAGCTAAATCTCCCCTGCATAACAGGTAGGGCCAGCCGGGGCAACAGAATTGGTGGGACACATTGCTGAAAGAAGGGAATCAGCAGGACGTAAAGGAACTCCATGGGGCCAGTAGTTCTGCCCCATGACTCCCATTATCAAAGGTTTAGAGCTTCACTGACCTACACTACAAAAATGTATCAGACTGAAGTAATTATTTTTTCCTCTTGGGAGGGCATGGCAGCTAGGAGATAGCTTAATTCCACTAGTCTATTGTTTTTTTTTTTTTTTTCAGTTTCCACTTACTACTGGGGTCTGGCTGATCCCTGGATTTCAAAATGATCCCACTTTAACATGAAGTAGATATGATTGGCACTGCATTCCAGGAAAGAAGCTGAGCATAAGCGTATTGGAGTCCACTAGACTTCACCATGTGAATGTAGTCCCCATGACAGAAATCTCAAAATTCAGTTTCTGAATTTAGCCTTTTTCAAACTATGGCTCTAGCATTCTGGAAGCCTCTTGCTGCTGCTTAATTACTCACTCATCTTCAGGCCAATCATACTCCAGAAACTGTTTTCGGTAGATTCAGTTTTGGATTTGCAGCAGTGAGAAGTGAGGGAAAATCTCACTTAAATCCATTTTAAATTGTATTTAAAAATATTTGTTGCATCACATCAAAATATAATGTGCACATAAAAGCATTTCTTCTTGGTAACTTTGCTAAGATCTTAATAGCTTATCATGAAATAGTATTTCCTAAAATTCTTCTTTTAATACTTTTACACCTAACAGCTCAACAAGGTGCAAGATCACTCTGAATATTAAGTTCCCCATCCTATACTGAATACATTAATCCGACGATAGGTACAGGGGCCTGCTGATCTTCTAGTAAATATCTCTCTTGTTCCAAAATCAGGACTACAGAGCTGAGCATGTTTGCTTTGTTATGGCACATAAATCTACATCTGGACAACACCAAAACCCACCATTTAGACAATCCTCTTTGGGTTAGCAGGAAGCCCTGGAGAGGAAAAAACGAGGAAGGAAAAACAAAAACCTAAAACACCTTGGTGAAACAGTGTATAATGGAAGGGGGCATCCAGAATGAACATTACAAATAAGAAATTGATGTTAATTCCACGGGCAAGATAAGCAAACCGGAGGGAGAATTAGTCCCTTACGGTAAAATTTACTTCCAGAATCCAAGGTATTGCTTGTAATAGGTTGTTGTAGATATAAGAATATACACTCAAAACATACAAAACAAAAGGAGAAAAAACCCTAGTGCTCTTAAAATGGCATAGTTTACAAAAAATGTATTTATAATGCAGGCAAGGCACCAAGATATGTCTTTACCATATTTTGTTATGGGATAGAATGGTATTGCCAATGGTATGACCCCAGTTAGCACAGGCATTTCATAGTTTCACTTTCCCATTCATTTCAACATGAGTAAGCTGAAAGTTTAGCAATGTAAGCATGCACACACTCAAGCATATACAAAAATAAAAGTGGGGAAGTCCTCGGGGTAATTAATTTCATAACTGATGAGTACCTTGTGCATAAAGTATTAAAAAGTTTTACAAATCTTGCAGGCAGTTCCAAGTAGTACTGCAACCCTATTAGCTTAGCAGGATTCAATTTTATTCAACTAATCAAAAAGAAACTGACCTGGAAAAGCTTGAAGTAATAACAGAATATATGGTCTCCCATGAGATTATTTCTTGCAAAATCTTGCCCAGCCTTTGCAATATTCTTTGCCTGACAGGTAGGAAATTAAATGGGGATAGAGTTGATGTATTTCCATATTTAACCTTAGGTTATTTTCATTATATACTCTTAAATTTTACTTTCTTATGCTCCTACCTGTCCCAAATCAAATATTCAATTTCATTCATCAACGTTCAGTACTTCCAACTGAATTAAATTAAATGAAAGAAAAGAAAACATACTAGCATTCTTGAAGGAGGCAAAAATGAGTCTTAAGGGCACAAATTCACAGAAACTCTATGTAACAATTCCACACAGATCTTGAAACAAATGGCTTTCTTAAGACCAGTGGAAAGTAACAAAATAGCAACACAGCTTTTGACTTTTGCAGAGGGTTAAGCAAATTTGATATTAAAAATAACTGATACCAAGGGGAGGGTGAGGTGGAGGGCCAAGTGCCTGATAGAGGTTATGGTAAAAATCAAGTCAGAATATTTTACAGTGTGCAGATGGTAGTTCCTGCCAGACTCCTCCCAGGACAAAATATTGCAGGTCATACAGAGGAAAAGGGGCAATGCCCACTTCCTCTTTGAAAAATAAAATGCAGCAGTTATTGGACTCCATCTCTGGGTAGGGGTGGTGTTCACAGAACCACACTGCTGAAATGCTAACCTAGCATGCAGCCATCAGGACCAGTAGCCATTGCTAGGCTTCTCTGCCATGAATTTGTGCAAAAGCTGCTAAGAGCTTTTAGAACCATTCAAATGGGTGACCATCACTACTTTCTGTGGCCGTGAACTCCATAGTTAACTGTTACGTCCCTTTATCTGCTCTGAATCTTCTACTATTCAGCTGCATGGGACGACTATAGCATGATAGGAAGAGAAGAAAAATGTCTCCTTAAACTCCTTTCGCCGCACCATTCATAATCCTGCACAGCTCTGTCATGTTGTCTCTCACTCAGCTTTTCAGTAAATTAAAAAAATCTCAACTCACAGAGGAACTGTTCCAGCTCATTAGTCTAGTTTTCCGTTTCTGCACTTTATCCAACTCCACACTATCCCTTATTAGATGCAGTGGCCATAACTATACAGTATTCTAATTCTGCTTAGATTTGTATAAGGGCAGTATGCAGTTCTATTTTCAATTCCTTTCCCAATTATGCCTAACATGAAGTTTGCCTTTTCATAGCAGCAGTACACGGGGCTGCCATTGTCATTCCACTGTCCACCACAATCCCAAGACTGCTTTCTTGATGCATCACCACTATCCTCAGTTCCCATCAGCCTGTACTTGAACTTGGGATGATTTGCCCATACGAGCATTATGACTCTGCAGTTGCTTACACTGACCCTCATTTGCCACTTTGATGCCCGTTTGCTCAGTTTGGCAAGGTCCTTTTGGAACTCCTCACAATCCTTTTTGATTCTAACCACCCTAATAATTTGGCATCATCAACAAACTTGGCCACTTTGCTGCTCACTCCTAATTCTAAACCCTTTATGAATAGGTTGAAAACTATTAACCCTAATATTGCCCCCTGTGGAACTCCACTGGGAGAAATTACTATCTAGTCTTACTCTCTGCTTTCTGTTCTTTAACTAAATACTGGTCCATAAGAGGAAACTCCCTGCCTTTTATTCCATGACTGCTAAGTTTGTTCAGGAGTCTTTGATGAGGAAACGTCAAAAACCCTTTGGAAGTCCAAGTGAGAGGTCTAGTGAGTTACCCTCATCTGTATGTTTGACACTCTCAAGGAATTCTAAAAGCTTAGTGAGACAGAAAAGTCAATTCCTTCTCCGCAAACCTTGTTCTAAATGCTTACTGATTCAATCCATAATAATGCATTCAACCAATTTTCCCAGAACAGGAAACCTTCTCAATGCACATCTGACTGACAACCTTACACTAGGCGTAACACCACAGGCAGCCTTCCCCAACCTGGTGCCCCCCAGGTGTTTTCATGGGAATTTCAATTCCCATCTTCCCCAGCCAACCAGGGCAATGGTGAGAAATGCTGAGAGTTATAGTGCAAAATATCAGGAGGCCTCAAGATTGGGTAAAATCTTTCTGAATACTTAAGAGAAATACCTACAACTCACTTTCTTAATGTGATGACTGGTGCTACTTAATAAAGAAACTGCGATGGACTCCAAATTAATCACATCAAAGTAGCATCAGCTGTTGCTCTCTCCAGGCAGAATTGGACAAGAGTCCCCCCTGAAACCCTGGGAAGCCTCAGGCTAATATTGTTCCAGATGGACCAATGCCCTGGTTTAAGACAGCTCTCTATAGTCATATGAGTTCTTATAAGCTGTCATATACCGTATTTTTCGCTCTGTAAGACGCACTTTCCCCCCCTCAAAAGGGGAAATGTCTGTGCGTCTTATAGAGCGAATGTGTGTGTGCCCAACGCCCGGGACGCTGCTGGTCCGCCTGCACCACGTGGCACCACCAGGCCGGCACGCGCTCAGCGCGCCCTGCTCTGCTCCCCCCTCTGGCACAGGTGAGAGCTGTGCTGCTCAGGGGGAGGTGGGCGGAGAAGGAGGAGCCGCGGGCTTTAACCCGCCGGCTGCACGGAGGGACGGACTGCTGGCCCCAACGCCCGGGAACTGCTCACCCTCACCACCCAGGAAGACCTGCCGCGGAGGAGGAGGAGCTGCAGGCTTTAACCCACCGGCTGCACGGAGAGACGGACTGCTCACCCCCACCGCCCGGGAAGACCTGCTGCCACCGCTGTGCCGCCCGGAAGATCACCACTGGCACGCTGCCGGCCCGGCTGCACCACACCTGGCCGGCACGCACTCGGCGCACCCTGCTCCACCCCCCCCTCCTCCAGCGCAGATGAGAGCTGTTAATCACAGGTCGGTGTGTGTTTTCAAATGGCAACCCGTCTTTTAATGAAGCCCATGGGGAAGTAATGGGGAATGTGCCTGTGATTATCAGGAAGCTTTCCATGGATCCCTCCTCTAAAAACTAGGTGTGCATGGTCAGGTGCATCTTATAGAGTGAAAAATAAGGTATATCCTAAGTATAACCTCCTTCCCATGCTGTGAAGCACATAATAATTTTTCCTAAGCCCTAAATAGAAAGAGTCTTGTGGAATGTTTGCAAACTGTTTTGTTTCATTTTTTAATAAAGAATATCCTTACCTCTTCATCATGGTCTTTTGCCCACTGGAGTTTTTCCAGGAGATCACTCAGGTCATTTTTAAAAGGAATGTAGTGTTTCCAAGGTTGTAGCTCATTATAAAAATGTTCATAGTAGATGGAATCCTGTTTAAGCACAGCGCTGTTTCCCGCTAGCAGATAAGGCAGTCTGTATGCAGCCACTGTGCCGTCGATATTAATTTGGTATTTATACTGCAAAACACAGCACGTAAATGAATATGCTTTTAGATCTATTGTGGAGTCTCCCACGACTTACCCGGGATCAAAATCTGATGAAAAAATATGTTCAGAACATCTGGATGCAGAATTTCAGGCAGTCTCTGGGTCGTTTCACACATTACTTGGAAACCTGTTTTTGCTGCCAGGTTCAACAGGGACCTGGATGCATCCTCAAACAGGGAGCACTAGCAAATCCTTGCTGTCTTTGTAAGTGTAGAAGTGGGGAACACATTTATTGTGTTCACATGCTACATGTTTAGGTTTTATATGGGAGATCTTAAGAGATCTTAAGTGTAAACCTAAAAAATATAATGAACACAGAAGCCCTTTGTTACAGCTTTTGTTAGTCCCTCTATAGTAACCATCCCCATCTTTGGGCTTCTGATCCTTCACAAAACTAATCAAAATTTACAAAAGAGCAGCCCTATTTTTATTTCTTCAGAAAAGGTTTAAAAATGTGCTAAACCTTTCTCTTACCGTCTGTTAAGACAGAGAATGATAGGCATAGGCTTGTGATAGCAAGTTAGCAATAACCTGTATGCCACAGCTTTGCTAACCAGAGATCTCCTTCAAACATGAAGGGCACTACCCAGTGTGGCTGCCTGTAACCTTCCAGGCTTGGAGATTATGGGCATCCACTCAAGGCTGGGAGGAGCATGTAGGCAGCAACTGTTTCCACGTTTCTCCTACCTCACCAAGACAAGCTGGCATATTTTGGCTGTCTATGACTTTTGCCTCTCCTTGCAGCCCTTGCACTGCTGGAATTCCTCATAGTACAGCAGACTCCCTTCATTCCTTCCGTCTCCTGCAGTGAGTGGCCTGCCCTCATTGCACTGCAAAGTCAGACCCGATACTCGGACCAGTCCCACGGCTGTCTACACATCTGGTGAGCAAAGGGGTTATACCCCAGCCCATCCAAAGAACACCAGGCCCACTTTCACACATCTGCATTCATCTAAGTTTGTACTGAACCATGGACTTGCTGCAGAAACACAGTGTGTGAGGAACATGTTTATCAATGAGCAACAGCGGCTTTTCTCTGCAAGTTTTAATTCTCTGAAAATAATCTAGACTCAGGTGACTGTGGAAATATGCAAGTGTGTTATACGGAATGCTTTCATCCTTGACCCTACACCTGTATACCTGTGACCCAAGCAGCTGCCAATATTTGGACCTGCCTCACTACCCTCGAGCTCAAATTCTATCAGAATCCAGTCACATTTACAACGCTTACCTTGAAGAAATCAAAAAAGGAAATATGTTTCACAATGGGGCCATAGAGACTTTCATCGTGTTTGAAAAAGAAGAAGTTTGTAAATGCTGCATCAATGATTTCTGGGTGCTTTCTGCTCATTTTTACAAGTTCGAGCCTCTCTTTACGGCTGTCCCGACCGCGCCAGATTGCTGTGCTGTTCTTCAATTCCCATGGCGGCCCAGTGTTCGCTTGAACAGACATCATGTCAAGACTGACTCTGTTGAGATGAACATATGCAACAGTATCCCTTTGTGTTTGGTATATTTATATTCTGCCTTTTTCCTTCCAAGGAGCTCAAGGCAGTGGATGCAGCAACTGCCCTTGGGAGACAGGGATAGCTGGGCTACGTGGCTGAATGGGGATGAACCAAATCTTCTCAGTCCTGGCTCAACTATTGTACCACACAGGGCCAGATGGGCAGAAAGAGCTTCTAGGCAGGAGGTGGTAGAAATTCTGTGCTGACAGCCACCCTCCTTAACAGCTGGGCCCTCTGCTGCACTGGTTTGCTAGGACCAAGAAGGAATAGCCACAGTTGTTGGGAGATGTAGCAAAGTAAGAGACTGCAGATAAGACCAGCTCGTCTTCTTAAGACCTTAAGGCTAGCCCTTTGCCACTTTATTCTGAGAGGGAGGAGACAGGAATAGAAAAGACGGCATGGAACTGAGCAAGCTGTGAGAGGCCAGTGAGGAAACTGGAATCCTCTCCTGTGTGGCTCTACAATACCTGTTGTGGGCAAAGCATCAGGTGACTTTCTCCTTAAGTTTTCTTTGCCTTTAATTAAACAAAAGCCTCACCCTGCCTTTGGAAAGAGGCAACAAGCACAGCTGCCGCACAGCAAACAGTCTGGCAGGGTCACAAAGAGACTCCTCCAGCGGGTGTTTTGTTTGGACTACACCCCTGGTTCTCCCCTCCTTCTGTGGCTGCACTCATTTCCTAACCAACTCATTAAGTGGACAACAGACGTAGCTAATCATATGGGTTCCAGTGTATGTGCAATAATCAGAAGACCGGGTCAAAGTCAGTCCAGTTTTGTGTGGTTCGGTATGATACTCACATGAGGTGTTAGAGTGGAAGAACAAGATGGCTATTGCAAATGAAATGGACTGATGAAAGAGCAGGGAAATAAGATAACTGATTGAAAATCCTGACCAGAAAATAGGCCTCTAACAGGCTTAGCACTAATCGCATGGATGACATGCACCAGAATCTGTTCTGACTTAATTACCTATTTGGTTTTCGGAAAACTGACAGTTCTGAAAAGCAATTATCACATGAATCATAAAGTAAACTGCACTATTAAATTCACCGTGTTCTTCCACTTAATTCCCCAAGGGGCATGTCATCTTGTCAACCTATCCATTTCCTTCTGACCCATCCTCCTCAATTTTCCACCAAGCTTCCCATTTTCTATGTACGGAACTGATGGCTTCCAGCCATTGTCAACACTGACACCAAGGAACAGCACCCATCTGAAACATCCCTTGCAAACTTAGGGTATCAGCAAACTTCGTAGAAATTCTTACCGCCCCATTGTCTCTAAAACGGAGTCTGTCAGGTCATAGGTTGGCATTACAATATCTTTTGAATCGTTGGAACCACACCATGAGAAAATGGGATGGATGCCCTGAGAAGATTTCTTTTTTTCCAAAGGCCAGTCTCCCAAGTTAACAAAAAACTCTAGATCAGGCATTTTCACCTAAGACACACAAAAGCAAAGCATTCACAACATATGGCATGTGGAAATCAGACTTTACCATTCCAAAAGTGATATTGGTTTTTCATGTAGAGTTTTGTAATTGCTACAATGCACGTGCAACAAATAAAGCAAATATCCCTTCTAACATGTCAGCTTGATTTAGTGACATGGATTCTAGGCCTTGAACAATGTCTAGACTACATAGTTAGAAAAGTAATGGCCAGTGCTCACAGAACTGCACTACTGAAAATATATTATACCAATGCTACAATGTTTTAACTGACTTTCTATTACCTTCTGCTCACAATTCAGGTATTTTCATTTTATTTGCCACATTTAGCAATTAAATATGCTTAGTATTTACATATATACCATTTGTTTAAGCACTGCACTCAATATATGTTTACAAGAGCCTTATAAACCTTAGGGTTCTTGTACATGGAACTTTAACTGAGAGAGAATGGTTTGCTGAAAAGTTATCTTTTAATCATTATACATGCCAAGGTTACAGAGCTTTTCTGGGGATGAGACTGCAGTAATTTTAGGAAGACAAAGTTTAGATAACAATGGGGATGTCAGTTTTGTTACTGTGTTTAATATTTTCTTCTGCCTCCTTAAAGTAAACCAGGATATAAGCTTCAAAGGATAAACAAACAGTAACAAGTCCCACATGTCAGAAGCACAATGCCATCTGCTGGTCTGTATTTTCAACGTAACTTACAGGGCATATGCAATGATAAAAAGCCTTCTGCTTTAAGACCAGCATTATGGTTATCTCAGGTAGTCTCAAGCTCCACAAAGCCAGAAAACTGGATGCTAAGGCCAACGTCTTAAAAGATGTGATCAGTGGTTAGTGATGACCAGAGAGCCTCTGGCTATGGGGCAGCATACAAATGCAGTGAATGAATGAACTCGTGCAATGTCTCCAGTATGATTATTTTATTTTATTATTTATCGATTTATATCCTGCCTTTTTCCTCAAAGGACTCAAGGCAGCTTACATCATTCTCCTCCTCCATCTTATCCCCACAACAACCCTGTGAGGTAGGTTGGGCTGAGAGTCTGTGACTGGCCCAAAGTCACCCAGTTGGCTCCATGGCCGAGTGGGGACTCGAACCCAGATCGCCTGAGTCCCAGTCCCAGGCTCTTAACCACTACGCCACACTGGCTCTCATGCTTACAATTTAGCTTCCATGCACCCACACTTCTCCTGGGTCTTTCAGGCCCAAATTGAGATGGGAAGATGGAACAACTAGGACCAGTAAAGATGCCCTTTATTGCTGTATGATGTGGCTGAACAGGAGTTCATCCATGACTCTGTGTTGTTTGCAACCAATTACAGTTTGTGATATAATCTGCATAACAGCATATCTGTTACAGCATCTGACTTAACAACCAATTTGCTGACTTTGTGGACCTGAACCAATATGAGATAACCTTACCTCTGGCATTACTCCAGAAGATTTTTTGATTACTGATTTCCCCCTTTTTGGCAACTCAACCTAAAGCCCCTCCTGTCATGCTCATTTAATTCTTCTCAGCCCCTTTAATTCAGGTGACATTGATTGGCAAAATTCTACACTAGGCTTCCTGAAACCATGAAAAGTTTCCCTAAGGATTGGTACAGAAGTCCTTCAAAGGAAGGAGTTCCGATACAGATTGGAATCCTAGCACAGGGGGAAGGGTAGATAATTTGCTAAAACCAGCATCCCACTAAAGCTGTTACTTGTACCACTGGAAAAATGTACAGGCATAGCCTTATATGTCCTTGCATGTTGTCAGTACAACAGCACACCCAGCGAGGGAGTCATTATTCAGGGGCAATTATCTCTACTACCTTGTCACGATCCATTTTATGCCCACCATGGGTAAGTTCTATTTAAAAAAAAAGCTCTAGGACCTAATGTCATTCATTCCTATAAAGTCATTTCATTACTTCATATCTTGTCCTACCTGCAAGGAGCTATTGGTGGAGTTTTATCCTCACAACAATGCTGCAAAATAAATTAGGCTGAGAGATAGTAATAAGTCTAAAGTTATCTGGCAAACATCATGACCGAGTGGTAAACTGAACCCAGGTCTTCCCACTTGCAATACAACACTCTAACCCAGGGATAAATGAATGCCTTGAAGATGTTTTGGTCACAATTCTCATCATTTTTCACTATTAGCCATGCTGGCTGAGGCTAATCCAAAACATCTGGAGGCCCCAGGGTGCCTATTGTGGCTGTAATCACTTAACCACTGCATCATACTGGCTCCAATCATGAAACTCTCGTATCAAGTCTAGTGCACCTCTAAGGGTGTGGGAGTTCAGCTGGTTACAGTGCAGCAATAAGTCCCCTGAGTACATTTGGGAGTGTATCACAAAGTCAGGGGAAGTCACGGCTGCTTTGTTTCCCACTTGTAGCTTGCTTGTGTCCTTGCTTTCTTCCTTCCTTTCCAAGATTTATATATAATGCCACAGCATGGAACAAATTCCAGAGGAGTGAAAAGTATGACAAAGCTGGCAATAAGGTACAAGCACAATATTAAAAACTGATTATCAGTGAAAACATTTTTCTCTCTGTTTGATCTGGAGTAAGCAGAAGTTATTACTCATGCTAGTGACCCTGGAGATGTTTTGCTTTACTTAAACATCATTAGCTTAAGTCATCTGGGTTTGGTATTTTTGCAAAACACATGACACACCCTGCAGGCATCTATTATTTATATAGCCTGGGGTTTGAAGCTCTGCACACTGTTTTCTCTGCATATAACAGGATATTTTCAGTGTGCCTGTTTCCACTGCCCTGAAACATTGTGGGACCTCTTAGAACAGCATTAGTTTGAGCCGAGGAGTTCATCCAGAAGGAGGGAGGAAGTCACCCACTTCATCTGTGCTTAGAAGTGCCACAGAGACAAATGCATCTGCTGGGATCTTAGGCAGTGCCAAATATGTACATTTTCAAAAAATGTGCTTACGAGATTTGAATGGAAGGGAGAAAGTGAACAAAACTCTATGGCAATGCAAAGCCAAAATAAAACTGTACACTCATTTACAACATAATGGAATATTACAAACATCCATGAGTGAAGATAAAGGAGAAAAACGCAATTAAGAATGCAAAGCTCAGCATGATTGCTGGATTTAGTTAAAAAAGTGGTTTTTCTAGCAACTCTTTCTTTCTGGGGAAACAGCTGGAGCTGCTTTATTTGCTCATGCTGGAGTATTCCTCCTAGCTGTCATTCATATTTCTAGGCTTCCATATTTTAATCGATTTTTTAAAATTATGTTTGAATTTTATTGAGCTGCAGGTGGCATGTGCATGGCAGAAAGTATCACATATCAGTTTTGAGTAAATCTATAACTTGCTTGAATTTTCAATATATACTTACTTTTCTAGTTAAGGAAAGTAGAATAGCATCCATGAAAATCCTGAATCCCACATGCTCACCATGGGTCTTTATATACACCTAGAATAATTAAAGAATTGCAGAATTATTATCTTTTCTTCTTTCAAACATCTTACAGCTTTTTGGATCATCTCCATTTTCTAACTTGGGCAAAACAGACAAAAACTTAGGGTTTACTTTCTTTAGTTTTAGAACTAGAAAACTCCACAACACAGATTTATGACTGCCAATAGCCATGCTGCTGCTCCTACCGTTGTTCAACAAGGCTGCCAGGCCAAAAGAAAGAACAGTTTTCTAATTAGGAGCAACCAGTAAGCATGCGCCAGAGCACTTGCTGGAATTTGCAGAAAAAATAACACTTGGAAACAAGAAAAACAACCACCACCCTTCATAACAGTATTTTCAATGGTTTCTTTTTGAGCTGCCATAAGGGATCCTCTCCTGAGTGAATGGAGCCAGCCTGCAGGTGCCTTCAAGACAGATGCCAATGCCTTCCCCCATTCCTATAACCCATCTTTGCAGAGAAATTTCCTTACACTGTGGCAAACATGGTTATTTTTCACACAAGGTGTAAATATCATGATGTGGTGGTGGCCACTAAGTTAGCTAGCTAAAAAGGGGATTCTAGAAACCACACAGGTGAGGTTCAGCAAGCAAAAGGTACAATGGAACAAAAATAGCTTGCTTCTGGATAGTAGATACTATGGACAACATAATAGAGGTTGATCACAGAGATGTTCCCTTTTAAAACTGAGTGTTTTAAGTAACAAATGAAAAGGTGGAGCAACTTGGTGGGTGACAAGATAGGACTCCACGAGTGCAAAAGGGCCTGCAAGCACCATGTTGCCTGCCACTGTTCTACAGGCCTCCTGATAGCAGCTCATAACAGATTAGAAACACAGAAACAGAGCGAGTCAGAAGGGGTCTCCCGGGCCATCTAGTCTGACCCCCGGCTCTAGCCGGCTCCGCTCATGACATGCCTACCATATGCATGTCTAGCCTATCTTTGAACACCCTCACCGATGGGGCCTCAACCACCTCCCATGGATGCCCATTCCATACCCTTGGGGTTCTAATTGTCAGGAAGTACTTCCAGGCATCCAAACTGAACCTTGGATGGGCCTTGTCTGATCTACCAAGGGAATCCTCAGATTTTGGCCCTGACTATTTCTGGGTTGACTATTGGCAGCATGGCCAGAAGAGAGAAGGATTCTGCTGAAAACAGCTATGACACTCATAGCTTTTTCCTGGTCCTTCTAGTGCTTTTGCTGACAAGCAATTGCACATGCACATTGGCTGGTAGGGTCTAGCTCACCTGCTCCCCAGAGAAATTGCTAATAGGGTTGGGACAACCTTTTTTGGAATCCATCCCTCTAGCATCCATAGACTTCCTCTCATCATTGGCAAGGCAAGGCAAGCCAAAAGGAAATTGGCAAACGTTTGTGGAGCCCTAACTGCACAACTGGCAACCTTCCCAAAAGCTGTGGGATGCAGAAGGAGGTGGTACAGACAGGCACTGCCGGCAACCCATCTTTTTCCTGCCCTCTGCTGCTAGTCGTGGCATGTAGGTAGCGTGCCATGAAGACTGGGCACATTCACCAGGAACTTGGGCTCAGGGCCACTGCAAAGCAGAGCACAATCCAAGGAGCTGAGCCAGCAGAATCTGATGGAATCCACCCCAAACAGATTCCGTGCACATGCCTAGTTACTACTATGCCTCACAACCACAGGATGGCCGCTTCCCTCATCCTCTAGGGCTCTTCTACATTTAGTTGCAAAACAGCCACTTTTATCCATGTTGCCTCCTAATATAAATTTTATCTGTGCTGCCACTTCGTGTTGTGTTGACAATACCTTATTGTCTTTTATGGTGTAATGGCACAAGCTCTGCCTCTGTCCAAACCGTTGTGGAACTTCTTTGGCAATTTTGTCGGGGTCAATGGTAGGAAAATGTGCCAGGTCTCTCTGGATCTGTGAGATGGTGTGAGGGCAGGACATCTCTTCCAGCCAAGTGCTCCCATCTTCCTGAGGACAGTCACAGTTCTCATGATAGATTGGTCCTGTACACAAGAGATTTGTGTTAACATGTTTCTTAGAGATCATGTTAGCCTTTCCCTACCTGCTGCCCTGGGACCAGATATAGGAATGAGTTTAAATTAGTTTCGAAGCACTGTGATTTACACCTTGCTACAATCACACTGTTAAACCATCCTACTAATATGTTCACTTCAGATCATCGTATGAAGCGGAAGCACAGAGTGTCACCTACATGTACAAATGGCAAATATCCAGGGGACTTTTTTAGTCAGTGCCTTGCACTGTGGTACACTCCCTTTCTCAGAAACATCACGAGAGTGTGACCTCAAGCCATTATATACTGTGCGAGCTAACTTGGTAGCTTTCCATAGCCACATGTCAAGTTACTGAGGACTACCGTAATAGAAAACAAAGAGAAAACGCTGTCCTGCTCTAGCCCTGGAAGAAACTGATCCAGGATTAGGCAGCATCTATCCAGTGACAAAGAAGGGACAAAGGTTGGGGCAGTTCCTAGTGAAGTCTGCCAGGAACAATGGAAGCTGCTTTGACAAAATTTTGGAAGCTCAGCTAGACGTGACAAAGGAGACCTATGAGTAATTCCTGTGTGTGGTTTTAAAATCAATAGTATTTATAGTGTTCCTGATATGGATTTGGGACTACAATGCCAGGTGGGATTAATCCTGTACCATTTTCCCAGTTAAAAATCTCTCCCTCTCTCTCTCTCTCACAAACACACACACACTGGATGAGGCACTTTTTGCTGACTGGAGATGTGACAGAGCTGTGGACTTTCGCTTCCTATTTGAAAAGTCTAGACTGCTGGCAATGGAGGAACGCTGAGGAGCAAAACCTCCTTTGGAATCACTGAGAAATTTTGATCTTGGGCCATATTAACAAATAGGGGGCACTGCTCCGCTCCCATTAACAACCCTCTTACACTGAATTCAAACAGTGATACTTAAAATACAGTTAACCTTGGCTGGATTGTGGCATATGCTTTTTGTGCAATTAATGAATTTGTATCCTGAAGCCATCCTGCCATCTATTTTAAACATATTACTCCCTTCCAACTAATATAAAATACAAAGTTAAAGTAAAACAAAGAAATTAATAAGACTCTAGAATTTGCCAGCACTCCCAGAGATCAATCATTTGAATAAATGATCCTCGAACATTCACTTTCGTTTTTGTTAACGTCGTAATTTTGTCTATCTGGTGTAAGGGGGCTCTAACAGGGAGGCAGGTATTCTGGAACACACAATGCTTGAATCATCTTTGTAAGTGATCAGTATTCTCAGAGGCATGTAGCATAGTATTTTATAAACTTCGGATCACCAGCATGCAAGAAGTTCTTCCAGATGAAAACATTGTTCCCACCTCTATTTCATTATTCAAGTTAAGGAACAATGGGAAAATGTGCTCCTGGCAACCATGACATAGTCCAGGTAATATTGCATCTCAGAATACTGTTGATCATTAAATACAGGCTCAATAATGTGTGTACCACTTTGGGCAAAGGTAATACTTCTGGAGTACCCTATATCTGCCATCTAATACAGGCTTTGTCAGGCAATCTAGTGCGCTCCAGGGGTTTTGGACTGCAAGTCCCAGAATCCCTGGTCATGGACTACATTTATAGGCTTACTGGAATTAAAGTTCAAAACATCTACAGAGAGAGCCAGATTGTTTCTCTTAATCTAGATTTCAGCAGGCAATATGCGGTCTGTGAGCCTCATGCAACCCCAACAACCCCTTTGCCAATTTTGCAAACCAAATATCTTGAGCTGCTGCAGAGTGCCGAAAGAGTCACAAGTAGCTTGATTGCATTTTGAGACCATTTTGAGAATCTGTAGTGCTCATGGATGCCACTTTGTTTATTTGTTGTTTTAATTTTCTGTGGGTTCGTCTGCTGTAGATCACGGGAGGTGCAGAGGGAGCACTAATGCTGCATACCTCTGGTCTAGAATCCTCTTTATCAATCCCTTTCTGCCTATTTATTCACAGAAAAAGGCAATGGAGGAGGTGTAATGATACATGACACTTTCCTAACGTGAAGGGCACGGAGCAGGGAGTGCACCAACACAATGATTTCATTTTCCAAGGTAAACATCAGCCCAACTGCAATGTACTTCCATATCCCAGCATACTGTCATCATTCAGTTTCAAAATTACTATTCGATAATGTCATTTTGTACCTTTCAAAATATATGGGGATTTCGCAATATGTTTGTCTTTGGTTTGAACCTCAATCTTCAGGTTTTTGTAGCTTGCATACATTCTGTACCTCACAATAAAGGAACCATCTTTCCTGTCTAATACTTGTACTCCAACTCGTGTAAACTGCTCCTCAGGAGCTGTGATCTTCACTTGAAACGCATTTTCACCTGGAGAGACAGTAAACCTAGACAGGGAATAAAGATAATAAAAATGCTTAAAACAAACAAGTTTTCTTATTGATACAATTCTGGGCTTGGGATGGAAAAAATAAGAACACGCTTTTCAGACTCTTTAAAATTGGAAAATAGGCTAGTTCACTTGTAACTATTGGAAACAAGCAAGCATCTAGATACACACTCCGATTGCTTGCTCTGGGTCTTCTCTGAAAGAGCCAAGCAAATGACTCAGGCAACCTCAGAATTTAATCTACACATTAAACACTTCATACTAACTCTCGAGTTTTTGCCATTGGTTTTCAAACTTTCTGAGACACACTTCCATATTATCTTGTGCAGCAAGGAACCCCTGGAAAGGACTGTGTGGACTGTAATTGGTTGTCTACACTTAATTAATGTGAGGTGCTCACCAAGCCTGGCGAGTCTCACTAATTTCCCACACCTGCACATTGCAAAGGAAGATCAGGAATGGTGTTATAAATATCTGCACACCTCCAAGATTCCCCTAGAACATTGTTCAGGCCTGGTCCAGGTCTCAATCCTTCCAGGTCATAATGTTCAGAGGAATGGTTAGCAAGTACAATGATCTGTTTTATCCTTTTCAAAATGGCTTCTGAAGGAGAGGGAAGATGTTTTGCATTCTAGGACCAGGTTCCTTGTGGCCATGAGGCATCGCCAGATTTAAAAGGCTGAGCCTTTTGCAGTTTCTAAAGAAGAGGGAACATAAGAGCAGCTCTTACAAATTAGATCAAAGTTCCATCCAGTCCAGGACCCTCTTCTTGGTGGGCAAGAAGATGCCGCTAAGAAGTCCACAACAGCCCTCTTCTGCTGTTGTTCCCAGCAACTGGTCCTTCCTCTGTAACTGGGCAATTGCATATAGCCACTGGCTAGTAGCCACTGATAGCATTTTCCTCCATTAATGCACCTAAAGTCACTTAAGCCAGTGGTGAGCACTGTGTCTTGTGTCAGGGAGTTCCACAAATAACACATTGTAGTTCCTTTAGGAGGTCTGGAAAAAATAGCTCCTGTAAAGCCAATGAAGCTAAACTTCATTATTCCATGACTGAATTTGTTCATTTCTCAAGACCTCCCCCTACTGTCCCCACCCATAATTTTATGCAAATGCATGACTGATTGTATATGTCCTAGATCCTCTAGGGGAGGTGCCAATGTCTCCGTCTGGTCAGATATTATTGGATGAATTTCAGTTATTGCGGCCTGATGATGCAGACAAGGTGCTTGGACAAGTACGTCCCACCACATGTTTACTTGACCCTTGCCCGTCGTGGCTACTGACCAAAGCCAAACACGGAATTGGTGCCTGGATCCTGGAGGTCATCAACACCTCTCTGAGGAACAGCCGGGTACCTGCCCCTCTAAAGGAGGCGGTAGTCAGGCCGGTCCTAAAGAAGGCGTCTCTGGATCCAGAGATGGCCGCCAATTATAGACCGGTGGCCAACATTACGTTTCTGAGCAAGGTGTTGAAACGGGTGGTGGTGGGACAACTCCAAGCACTCTTGGATGAGACTGACTATCTGGACCCATTTCAGTCCGGCATCAGACCTGGTTATGGTACTGAATCTGCCTTGGTCGCCCTGTATGATGACCTGTGCAGGGAGAGGGACAGGGGGAGTGCATCCCTGTTGGTCCTCCTGCACCTCTCCGTGGCTTTCGATACCATCGACCATGGTATCCTTCTGGATAGGCTAGCAGGACTGGGAGTAGGAGGCACTGCTTGGCAGTGGTTCAGCTCCTACCTCAACGGCCAATTCCAGAAGGTGGTGCTGGGGGACTTTGGCTCTGCACCATGGCAGCTATGCCATGGAGTACCGCAGGGGTCCATTTTGTCCCCCTTGCTATTCAACATCTACATGAAACTGCTGGAAGAGGTAATCAGGAGGTGTGGGCTGCGGAATCATCAGTATGCTGATGATACCCAGCTCTACCTCTCTTTTTCAACCAATCGAGGTGAGGCAGTGGCTGTGCTGAACCGGTGCCTGGCTGAGGTAATGGGCTGGATGAGGACCAATAAACTGAAACTCGACCCAGACAAGACGGAGGTCCCGTTGGTGGATGGTTTGGGCTCTGGGTAGGTGACTTGGACCTTGTCCTGAATGGGGTTGCACTCCCTCTAAAGGATAGGGTCTGCAGCTTGGGAGTGCTCCTTGACCCAGAGCTGTCTTTGGAAGCTCAAGTAACTGCGGTGGCCAGGAGTGCTTTCCTTCAGCTTCAGTTAATCCATCAGCTGCGTCCCTACCTGGAGGATGATTGCCTAGCGACAGTGACAGATGCATTGGTTACTTCCCGATTGGATTTCTGTAACACGTTCTACGTGGGGCTGCCCTTGAAGACAGTCCCGATACTTCAGATGGTGCAAAATAGAGCAGCCAGGTTGCTGACGGGGACTGGGTGTTATTCTCATATAACCCCAGTCCTCTACCAGCTTCACTGGCTCCCCATCGAAGTCCGGGCTCATTTCAAGGTGCTGGTCATCACCTATAAAGCCCTTAACGGCTTGGGACTTGGATACCTAAAGGAACGCCTTCTTCCGTATTTGCCCTCCCACCCCCTGAGATCGGCAGCAGAGGCCCTCCTCTGGGAACTCTCCGTGAAAGATATTAGGAGGGTGAGTACTCGGAGGAGGGCTTTCTCTGCAGTGGCACCCCACCTATGGAATGCGCTCCCCAGAGAGGTCCGCCTGGCGCCGTTGTTATTTGTTTTTCGATGCCAGGCTAAGACCTTTTTATTTAAACAATATTTAATTTTTTTTAATGTCATCTATAGGTTTTTTTAATTTGCAGCCAGGGTGAATCTGGATTTTATGTGCACTATTTGTATTGTGTTTATTTATTGTATGTAAGTTATTCCAAGGCTCATGCGAATGGGAAGGCATACAAACATTCTAAACAAATAAATACATAAGTATGTGATTGTCAGGATTTAATAGAGAGAGAAAAAATCAGCACTCAGTCCAATATGAAGTTGGGCTGTATGTGAAGAAATGTAAGACTTTGCAAGGTTGAAACACTAGTTACATGATAATACCACAAACCATTAAGCAGTTACTTAACCTGCCTAACCTGAAAAAAACCAGGGGGAATTGAGTTGCCAAAGACATCATGAAAGCTAACAGATCTGTAGGATCAAAAAGCATTGAAAATAATTGTGGCAACCTGTCTTTGGAAGCCCCCCCCCACCACCACCACCCCAGTGCAACAAACTTTGGAAACACATCTCTTTACACAAACTGATTTTAGTTGAGTAAACAGTGTGTTTGATTTTTGTATTTTGCTGGTTTAATAAATTATGGATACTGTCCTGAGGTTTGATAAAGAAGGTAGTATATATATATATTTTCAAACATGTAGCTAAGCAGCCACATCCTATTCGGGGAGCTGTGACTGGCGACATCGCCATTCTTGGTGGCAAATCCAAATTTGCTTTGTCTAATGCCGCACTCTCCGCAAAGTGGGTTTCGGGTCACCATGGGTAGAGTGCAATAGACGAGCACGCTCAACTGCGAATGTTGGATTTCTTCAGGTTTATGGCTTTATGGGGCATGAAAAATCAGCTTCAGATTTGCAAAGCCAAGTGTTTCGCCACCCCCTTCCTGCCCGTCTCTGCCCCACCCTCCAAACATCTGTTATCTGAAGAAGCAGCTGGGCTTACCTCCTCCCTTCAGAATCCACAGCCTGGACGTAAAAATACCGAGCAGGAAGGACCACGCTTGCTCTCAGGCCAGGTCCCCATATTAAACTGTGCTCAGGACTTAGCTGGCTCCCACCAGCTGATTCACAAAGCACCAGAAGAATGGTCCCCAACGGCAAGCAGCAAGTCAGCCAAATGCTACACATTTACAGGATTTCCTCTTAAGAAGCAAACAGAACAAATGCCGCACAGAGGGGGGTGGGAGAAAGAGGAAGAAATCTTGCTCCGTTAGAGGTAGATGCACAGAAGCACGTACAAGCTGGTGCCTTCAACCACAACCGCAGTGTCTTCTCAGTTACCTATCATTTGCTTTGCTCGGTGTTCTCTTCAATGCAAACTTCAGTAATTCCAGCCTTCCTACAAAAACTACACGGGAAAGGCTGCTTTGCTCTGGATAATGCATGAGGAAAGGAAGAATACAAATGATCAAGACGGCACCCGCTTCCCAGTTCCTTTGTCTTCTTGAGCGTGGAGCCTTTCTAATGCCTTCACCCTTTCCTCTCCGGCAGCATCTTAGGCTTACTGCAAAAGCGCAAAGGGTGGGGAAGGGGAAAGGGAAGGGGAAGGGGAAGGAGTGGGATCATTGGTCTAACAAAACTTCTTCCGAATGAAAAATCACATGGGAATCACTTCCCAGGCTCACCAGTAATGCTGGGAAATGTAGTCCAACCACAATCTGGAAGTCTGGAACTGTGTATTAAAAGAAAAGCTGGCCAAGTTGGTGTAGTGCAGGAAAAGCAAGACACTGTACAAAAACATTCTTCTCCCTAGGCGTCCCTAAACATTAAGATTGCGAGGATTATGAGAAGTATGTTCTTAAACATTTTTCCTCTCTTCTGTTTAATTTCACGGAGGAGGAGGCTCTCAGTGGCTACTAGCCTTGCTGGCTATGTGTTAGCATCTTTAGAGGCATGCCTGCATTCACTGGTTATTGCAGAGCTTGGGCTGGTGGAGGTCTGGGACCTATCCTGCTTGAGGAATACTGAGGACAGCTGGTTTGCCACTATGTGAGCAGAACGCCTGACTGGATGGACCACTGGTCTGATCTAGCTTTGCTTATGTGAGCACCCACCAGAGTATGTCACACAAACTGTTAGAGCAATGGGGAAAATGGAAAGATGGAAAACAGGAATGGAGGTACAGTTTTTAATAAGATTTTGCCATTATAAAAGCCCCTGTATGCAGTTATTGTACTTTTCTAATACTGTGAATTGTCTTACAGAGTTAGCATGGAGGAAAATATGGAAAACAAATGTTTCCTCCATACCCTTTCTGGGTCTCATCTCCCATCCCAGCTTTCCTATTTCTAAACAGGGCAGCAAGGCTGTGACTAGAGAAGGATCAGTGGATACAATGCATCCAAGTACGACAGGGAGGCTGAGACGGAATACTAACCACAAATACAGCCTCACTGGTCCATGAGGAATAAAATCTGAAATCCTCAATTGGGCAATACCTTTATTAGTAATAACCCAAATTGTACAGAGGTTTGCAAGTTTAGAGCTCTCCAGAACTCTTCAGTAGCGTAGGTGGTACAAATAAACAGGAAATGGGGTACCACCTGATGAAGAGGTCTGAAGAACTCAAAAGCTTGTACACTGTGTTTTTTCTGGTAGTTCTTAAATAAATGCTATGCATAAGGGAAGGCATAGAAAAGTTTTAAACAAATAAATAAATATAAGGTTGATACAAAGAAAGTTTAGTGGCAACCTGCAACATAATCCTATACATACCTTCACAGCTGTAAGTCACATTTAATGCAATGGGTCTTACCTGCAGGTAAGAACTGCAGCCTTACAGTGCAATCTTACACATGTCTACTCAAAAGGAAGTCCCATTGATATTGACAGGGCTTACTCCCATGTAAGCAGCTATAGCTGCCTGAATTAACTCTGAATATGAAAAAAAAAATGTTCCAATGGAAACCCCCTCTAAACTTGCACAGGATTGTGCCTTAACCTTAAACTGATTAATCAATTGAGCATTGTAGGCTTAATTACCCTATTCCCCCGAAAATAAGACCTAACCAGAAAATAAGCCCTAGCATGATTTTTCAGGATGCTCATAATATAAGCCCTACCCCAAAAATAAGCCCATTAAGATCGTCAGCCAGATGGACACATTTAGTACATCCATTGCAACACACGATGGATGTATTGAATGATAAAATAATATTAATATATAATTAAATATAAATAAATAATATTATTGACATTAATACCTAAAAAATGATAATATAAATTATAATTAAGTATTTATAAATACCCAAGTGGGCACCTTTGGACAAGAGGTAAACGCCTATGTAAACAGATGAACTTAAGACTTATTGATGAACGACCTCTCTTGGTACAGATACAACGCACGAATAATGTGTACGCTTGATACCGGACAGACGTGTTTCATAATTCAATATGTCATGTATTGTAATGGATGTACTTAATGCACTCATGTGTTGCCACTCCTGTCTCGTAAGTCTTCAATCAACACTTTATTTAATGGTAGATTTAAAGGGAATAATATTTTGACCCCCAGACAAGATGAGTGCAAAAAGAAAGAGATCTTCTGTCAAGTACAAGAAAGGAATTGTTGAGGACTCTCGGGGCAAGAAACTCACAGCTTTTGTAAGAAAAAATAAGACATCACCTGAAAATAAGCCCTAATGCATCTTTTGGAGCAAAAATTAATATAAGACCCATTCTTATTTTTGGGGAAACACGGTAAATACACAGTTTACCTTCTGAATGCCTACCATGAAACATGCCCTGCTGTTTCCTCAAGCATCAAGAGACACCTAACCCTCCAGAGTGAGTCCTGGGACACATGAGACAAGCAGCTCAAAGTACAGTGGTACCTCGGTTCACGAACACCTCAGTCATGACCAAATCGGGTTGCGAACAGAAAGTTTGGCAAAATTTTGCCCCCATTCGCAAATTCCACATTGGGTGACAACCACAATCACGGTCATGTTCCTGCACGAACATGATTGCAATCACGGCCATTTTCCCCGCACGAACACTCCAAACAATAACCTTCTTTCCACCCACCATGATGGCGAGCCAGGAGGGCATGCTCACCTAGGTCTAGGTCTTTCTGGCTGCTTGCTGCCACCCCACTTCTGAGCCAAAGGAAGGTCCCCTCGCAGGCACTCGCCCGGCCCCGGGCTAGGAGAGGGCCGCAAGGAGAGAGGTAAGGGCTGCTTTCTGCGGACCGAGGCAAGGGATGGGCACCTCTCACCTCTCCCTGCCGCGGGGGGAGGAAGCATGGCGGTCACTTGGCGGTGGTGGCTTGCCCTGAGAAGTCCGCCCCTGGGCTCAGCAAGGTGGCCTCGACTTGGCCTGCAGCCCGGGGACGTGGCTCAAATTTTTGTGGTTTAAAAAAATGTATTTATTTAAAACTTTTATATGCTGTCCTTTATGTAAACATGAAGTTATGGTTCAGAACAGATTAACCTTATTTACATTGAAGCTTATGGGGAAATTTGACATGGTTCACGACTAATTTGGGTTGTGACCAGAATCGTGGAATGAATTAAGTTCGTGAACTGAGGCACCACTGTACAACTGTGTTTACTTCACAGACTCCTGCTAACAATCAGTTCATTGGGATGGCAACTTATAGCCCTCCAGATGTTTTCACCAACTCCCATGATCCCTCACACTTAACTAGGCTGATTGGCTAGGCAGGGCCTAAAGGGAGCTGTGGGCTGAAATATTTGAGGGTCACAAGTTGCCCACTACTGCCTTGCAGTGTGAACTTACATAGTTCTACACTCTTTCATAGGATTTCTTATCCTTGCCTGTGACTGCATTCCTGCAGAATCTATCTGCCCCACCTTTAAGTGCAAGCCAAACATCCACCCAGCTTACTCAATGTGAGGCACAGACCTTCTTATATTCCAGCTCTTTTATTCCTCCAAATATCAGGAATGAAGACATCCCACTTGAGAGATCTTTACATAGCACTGGATGTTCAGCATCATCACCCAGAAGTAAGCTTTCAGAAATGTACGGGGATGTCCCTCCATCTCCAGTTCATCCTACTTGGAAAAAGGTAGCCAAGTGACCTCAGGCTATCAAATAAGTAGCTGAATGACACTGAAAGATTTTCTAGGACTGGTCCAGATGCACACAGGAATCTTGCTGAACTCAAGAAGATCTGATTCCAATAACCACTTTGAAGGGACAATATTTATTCAGAAGTAAGCCGTCCAGAGATGCTAGTGATGGACGGCCTATAAATGTCCTAAATAAACAAATAAGTATTTTTAACTGATTTCAGCAGAAATGGAAGCACTCCCCATAAGGTTAAGGTTTGAAGGCTGGTGTACAATCTTTTAAGTAAGAGCATAAATAAAATGGGCCAGAACTACAGATTTGCTATCTAAATTAAAAAATGCAAAACAACTTGAAGAACTGTGAAAAAAGAAATAGATATTTTAAATGAATGTTTGTAAATCCATATCTCTCCTCTCATTCTCTTGTGCAGCATGAACCCAAGGTTGAAAATCTATACTCCAGTAACTGGAAACATGCATCTCTCCAGGTGTTGTTTGTTATGTGCCACCAAGTTGCCTTTGAATTATGCTTACCCTATGAATGAATGCTCTGTAATGGGTCCTGACCTTAACAGTCCTGCTCAGTTCTTGCAAACCCGATACTGTAGCCTCAATTATAGAATTGATCCATCTCATAGTTCATCTTCTTCTTCTGCCTTTGAATTTTCTTGGCATGATGTGTCCAAAGTATGACAGTTTCCATTTGGGCATTTTTTTGGTTCCAGGGAAAGTTCTGTCATTCTAGGACTCACTCGTTCATCTTTATGTTGTCCAGGGTATTCACAAAGCTCTCCTCCAGCACCATGTTTTAAACACATTAATTTTCTTCCTATCACCTTTGTTTACTGTCCAGTTTTCACACCCCTTCTTGGACTAAAATACCCATCAGCCTTAGTCAGTATAGTTCATGGTGAGGGATGCACAAGCCAATAGGTAGAACAGTCCATCCTCCTCCTCTTCCATGTAATAGCACCCCATCTTCCCCGCTCCTTCTGCGAATCTTCTTTGGTGTGCAAGTGGAAAAGATCACACATTTTAACTTCTGTAACCTATTGGGAAATGTTATCTGTGCTACCTGTAACCTCTTAATGATCAGTGTACAAAAGGGCCAACTGAGGATTGCTCAGTTGCACCATCTGGAACGATTCATTGGTAGTTGGTTATTCTTGAGAATAACTCCTTAAAAAAAACACACCTCCACCTGTTGTGTATTTTGGGCACATTTGGTCAACACCTTCCCCATTCCTCTTACTTGGTAGCGGATCTATTGAACTAATTGAACAGAGCTGCTTTCCGTGTCATCATGGATGGGACTGCACCGCACAGAAAAGCAGTTTTTAAAAATTTATTTATTTAAAACATTTTTATGTCTCCCCCATCGCAACAAAGCCTCGGGGCAGCTCACAACAAGAACAAAGTATAACAAATTGTACAATAAAAATATTAAAACTCGTGCATCTCAGCTTAAAGATTTAAAATCCTATAAATAACCAATAAATTAACAATTAAAATAAGTTTTAAATAAAAAGGTCTTAGCCTGGCGCCGAAAAACAAATGACAGCGCCAGGTGGACCTCTCTGGGGCACGCATTCCATAGATGGGGCGCCACCACAGAGAAAGCCCTCCTCCGGGTACTCACCCTCCTAATATCATTCACAGAGGGTTCCCGGAGAAGGGCATCTGTTGTTGATCTCAAGGGGTGGGAGGGCATATATGGACGCAAGCATCCCTTTAGATACCCAGGGCCCAAGCCGTTGAGGGCTTTATAGGTCATAACCAACACCTTGAATTGGCCCCTGACTTCAATCGGGAGCCAGTGGAGCTGACGGAGAACTGGGGTTAAATGAGAACAACGCCCAGTGCCCGTCAGCAACCTGGCACCTCTATTCTGCACCAATTGAAGTATCCGGACCGTCTTCAAGGGTAGCCCCACGTACAGCGCATTGCAGAAAACTAATCGGGAAGTCACCAATGTGTGTGTCACTGTCGCCAGGCAGTCGTTCTCCAGGAAGGGATGCATCTGATGGATCAGGGTGGAGGAGCACTCCCAAGCTGCGAACCCTGTCCCTTAGCTGGAGTGCAACCCCATTTAGGACAAGGCCCAAGTCCCCCATCCCGAGGCCCGAGCCACCCGCCAACAGGACCTCCGTCTTGTCTGGATTGAGCTTTTCCCCTTACTTCAATGGGATTTGTTTCCTAGGTAGCTGATACACCACAGCAGGCAGGCAGGCAGGCAGGCCCACCCGCCCTACAGCTCTACATCTCCTCGGCAACGAGCAGGGGCTGACTCAGCGGAAGAAGCCCCTGCTAGCGAGCAAAGGAAGTCGAGGGGCGCTTTCCCATGTGTATGTATTATGTATTTATTTATTTACTTCCCCAGCGAGCCAGCCAATCACGTGTCGGCTTCCCAGCAGGCGCGCGGGCTGCCGGCAAGGTAAGAGCAACACCGCCTACTCTGCTTGCGTCACTCGCGCGTGGCGTGCGATTGGGCGGTAGTCGCTCAGGTGCCCTTGGGGGCGGGGCGGGGAAGTAGTGAGGGCAGGAGGCCCGCGCAGGTGAGCGGGGTGCTTCTCTCGGCCGGGGTGGGGGCGGGAAATGTCACTGCCGCGCTGCGAGTCAAGGCCGTCGGCAAGCAGGTAATCGAGAGGAGACCGTGAGGGCTTCTTGTGGGCCGTAGAAAGCCTCCCGGGGTGGGACTCTGAGGGGCCTTTCTGGATAAATTCTGCCGCGGTGTAGGCTGTCGCTCCTTATTCGGGTGGGTCGGGCGAGGCTGACCCTGGAGCAACGAGCAAGCGGATTCCTCATGCCTCTTCCCACAGCAGGAAGCAGAAACGCGGGGTATCAGCGGCAGCAAGATGTGGTGGGCGCCAGCCTTTAAGAGGAGAGGGCTAGACCTAGACCAAGTCTAGGACTAGCACTTGGTATGGTCATCGAACAGAGCCGCTGCGTGGAGTGGTAGCACATTGCCTTATCCCTTGGCCGCGGGCTTCCAGTGGCAGCCGAGCAGCTGAGCCCTCGTGCTGGTGGCAGTAAGTGATCCTCAGTTCCATCATCAGTGGGCTGGCAAAGAGGAGGAGGGGCGGTCACTGCATCACACCTCTGCCAAGCTCCTGGTTTGCCATACTATGTGTAGAGGATGACCTGTATGGAAACAAAGTGGGCCACCACGAGAGAGATGGGCTTGCTCCATCCCATCTCTGCTAGCCCCTTTGATAAAGGGCAGACTTTATTACCAGCTATTAAGAAGCTAGTAGCACCTGCTTCCATGCTAATTGTAGAAGACAGGCTTAAAACTGCATACAGGCAGGGTTCCCCCCCTTTAGAGGATTGTGGGGGGGGGGGGGGGCTGTTCTGGCATCTGGATGGACCTGGGAGTGAAAGGCTGGACACAATGGACTTTTGGCTCTTGTTGTAATATATGGAAAAAGTCCTACAGCTCCCAACATAGATGGTTGGGAAATGTTGGGACACCTGTTTTTCTGTCTAAGCATACATATGGCCTAAAGCTATTTCACAATTTGAGAACCTTTCCCTACTTCCAGTAATTTTGCATATAAATATAGCCTCCTTCATTCCACCCCAGTGGCTTTGGTCTAGACATACAGCAGTAAGCTCAATGACTTCATAAATGTATCTCTATTTTCCTCTTTCAAGGCTTGGTTGTTGAGTCTCAAAAAGGATATAATAAAGTGGGCAGTGATATTGAAAAGAGCAATCAAGGATAAATGTAAAGGCTAAAGCTTTGGAGGCTTTTTAAGTTTAGAGAAAAGGCCTACCAAGGGAGGCTATGATTTATAAAATGGCAGACGTTATGAAAAAAAGTGAATCAAGGAGAAAAAAATCTTCCTCATAATAGTAATATTGTGGGTTACTGATTGAAACTGATTGGAAGTAGATTCAAAGTGCATATAAGATTTTTTTCATGCATCCTCTGAATTAAGTCATGGGACTTATTGAACTGAATTACTGGAATTTAGTGTAACTCACCCTCATAAGACAATGTGAAGGTTGCTCTTCATTAAGATGGTGTGTTGAGTTTGTAACTGTAGGCTGCAGTGTACATTAAAAATACTTGTGATATAGTGCAGATGCTCTTTGTAAGGATTTTGAAACGTAGTCTTCTGCTTGCATGGACAATGTCTTGTCTTGAGAAACTTTCAAATGTCCCCAAGACATATTGGTAATGAAAATGTTGCTGCTGATGCCAAAATATCCATGAAGAATGCACATCAGATTGTCCATGTTCTGTAATGCCCTGAAGAGGAGGTGGCTGCATCTGAGAAAAGCCTGATATTCTTATTGATATGCATCTCTGGGATCACTTGTGGTATTGCACAGAGACAAAACTGATAATGTGAAGCCATGCCGTAAGCTGTTCTGTTTTTGGCTGATACTGTTCCTTCTTTCTTTTGTTTCAGGAATTAATTTTTTTCTTATAAATTTGGAGGAATGATGTAGACTACGACTGAGCCTAAAAGGGGCCTGCTGGCCTGTTGTTACTTTGAAAAAGCTTTTTACATTCCTTCAATGCCTAACATTGCAGACTCTCAGCTAGAGAGTGGTTCTGGAGAAAATGATCATGGATCAGGAAGAAAGGCGTCAGAAGTGAATCGTCATGGTATTGTAAAACCATTTTGCACTGCAGGTGCCTCAGTTGCCTCTCTGGGATCTAGTGGGGACCGGCATTATCCATGGGGGTGTCCTGTAACTCACACCCGAGAAAAGTTTTACACTATCTGCTCAGACTATGCTTTTTTAAACCAGGTAACATCTATTTGCAAAAGCCCAAGTGCTACAGTTAGTGCCTGCTTACAAGACAATGCTGCCTTAAATGTTGGAAATAATTCTCTGGGTTATATTGGCATTCGAACTGGCACATCAGACATCGTTTACAATGAAGATGCTAATCTGGAAAGTTTGTCTAGCAGCCTTGGAAAACTCCCACTGGCATGGGAGATTGATAAGTCTGAATTCAGTGATACATCCCCAGACTTGAAGAATCGAGCAGGTACAATGTTCACATGGACAGTCTGTTTTATCCTAGTGAATGAAAAACCACTTAATATGTTTATGTATTTTTGCTCAAGTTACTAGAACTGATTATACATTGTTAGTAACATTTTAAGAGAAATTACGTAAGTATGTATTGTACACAATCATTAGGCAGTTTCTTATGCTGATGTCATGCTCCAGCTCATTCTGTTGCACCAGCAACTAGTGCCACATGGATTTAGCACTTTGTAAAATTGATGAGGCTGTCAGCAGAGCTATCTTATATGAATTCTACTGATCTACCCTATTCCAAAGACTAGTGTTTCTAGTTGTTTCTTTACAAGCTATAACTGCTTGTTAGTGGTGGCTTATATGCAGCATAGATTACTGCCCACACTCCTTCACTTTGGTTTATGATATCTCATACTTTTATACCACCTTGCTAAAAATTGTGTCTTAAACTTCTAGTTTTTATAGACTGGCCACTAGTGGTGTATTGTGAAACGCTCTTCGGGAATTAGCTTTTTTGCTTTTATTTTTTGCTTTTTTCCCCTAGCATCAACCCAAGTGTTCCTCTTCCTTCTAACACCAAAAAGTTGTGGGGGTAATGTAATTATGTAGGTGCTACATGAAAATTAAAAATAAGATGGACCCAAAGAACAGGTTTTTAATCTAACAGCATTGATACTTAATATTATGAACTGTTCAATGTTTGTACAAGGGGTCTTCAAAAAGTTTCCACACTTGTATATTTCATATTTTATAAATATATTTTATATATTTTTTGCTGATGGCATTAAAAAGTTAGTACAATGCTGGGAAAAATGCATTGCAAAGGAAGGTGACTATGTAGAAAAGTGATGTAATTTGTTTTGGAAATTCGTAATAAATAGAGTTTTTAAAAGTGTGGAAACTTTTAAGAACCCTTGTATCTTACAGAAAAGTAGAACACTGGCTCTGTTGAGATTTTCCATAGTTGTCCTATCCATGACCATGGTGCTTTGCCTAGTAAATCTCTTGCAATTGACCTTGCAATTCAAATTTTGGCAGTGGAGGAATAAAGGAATATTTAGCAGAAAAGCCAGTTTGGTGTAGTGGTTAAGAGAGTTGGGCAAAGATTCGGGTACTATAGGGATTCATGTTATGTTCTCCCCTTGGACTGTGAAGCTCATTGGGTGACTTTTGGTCAGTCGCTGAATTGCAGCCTAATACATGTTACAAGATTATTGTAAGGATAATAATAGCAGTGGGAGGACTGTTTGGGAGGCCTTGGGCTTCTTGCAAGAGGAATAAGGGGGGATATTTATTTATTTAAAACTTTCGTATGCCGTCCCTTATGCATGGCATCTTGGGACAGCTTACAATCATTAAAAAAACTCAATAAAACAGCAATAAAATAACAGTTAACCAAAAAACCAATTAAATAAGTTAAATAAAAGCGACTGTTACATATTAACATTTTAATTTGATTTTTAAAATGACAGTTAAATAAAAAGGTTTTAACCTGGCACCGAAAGGAATATAAACTTGGTGCCAGGCGCACCTCTCCAGGGAGCACATTCCATAATCTGGGCGCCACCGCAGAGAAGGCCCTCCTCTGAGTAGACACCCTCTTTACCTCCTTCCGGGAGGGTTCTTGGAGCAGGGCCTCTCCCGCAGATCTTAAGGGGCATGAGGGCATATAAGGAAGGAGACGTTCCTTCAGGTATCCCGGTCCCAAGCTGTCCAGGGCTTTATAGGTCAAAACCAGCACCTTGAATTGGGCCTAGACTTCAGCTGGAAGCCAGTGGAGCTGATAAAGGACTGGCATTATATGAGAATAACGACTGGTCCCCGTTAGCAACCTGGCTGCTCTGTGCTGTACCAGCTGAAGTATCCGGACCATTTTCAAGGGCAGTCCCACATAGAGTGCGTTACAGTAATCCAACCGGGAGGTTACCAGAGCATGAATCACCATTGCTAGGCAGTAGTTTGTCCAGGTAAGGACGCAGCTGATGGAGCAGCCGAAGCTGTAGGAAAGCACTCCTCGCCACCCTGTCACCTGGATTTCCAGTGACAGCTCCGGGTTGAGAAGTACTTCCAAGCTGTGGACCCTGTCCTTTAGAGGGAGTGCTACCCCATCCAGGACAAGGTCAAAATCACTTACCTGAAACCTCAACCCACCCACCAACAGGACTTCCATCTTTTCTGGATTGAGGCTCAGTTTATTGGCCCTCATACAGCCCATTACCTTGGCCAGGCACCCATTCAGTACGTCCACTACCTCACCTGGAGTAGATGTAAAAGAGAGGTTGAGCTGGATGTCATCAGCATACTGATGATTCCGCAGCCCAAACCTCCTGATGACCTCTCCCAGCAGTTTCATGTAGATGCTAAAGAGCATGGGGGACAAAATCTGCCCTGCGGAGCCCCATGGCAAAGCTGCCATGCTGCAGAGCTGTAGTCTCCCAGCACCACCTTCTGGAATCGGCTGGCCAGGTAGGAGCAAAACCCATGCAGAGCCTCCTACTCCTAACCCGGCCGGTCTATCCAGAAGGATACCATGGTCAATGGTATCAAAAGCCACTGAGAGGCACAGGAGAAGCAACAGGGATGCATTCCCCCATCCCTCTCCCTGCACAGGTCATCATACAGGGTGACTAAGGCGGATTCAGTACCATAACCAAGTCTGAAGCCAGACTGAAATGGGTCCAGATAATCCGTTTCATCCAAGAGTACTTGGAGTTGTCCCGCCACCACCTGCTCTAACACCTTGCCCAAAATCAGGATGTTGGCCACTGGTCTAAAATTGGCGGCCACCTCTGGGTCCAGAGACAACTTCTTCAGGATTGGTCGGATCACCATCTCCTTCAAGGGGGCAGGGACCCAGCCCTCCCTCAGTGAGGTGTTGCTAACCTCCCAGACCAAGGGACCAATCACGTGACTGGCTTCTTTAAGTAGCCAGGAGGTCCAGGGGTCAAGAAGACAGGTGGTAGGATGTACCATTCCAAGCACCTTGTCCACATCATCAGGCTGCAATAACTGAAACTCATCCAATAATGATGTCCCAGATGGCACTCCGAATACTTCCCGTTCTGGAGTCATATCAACTGTGGAGTTCAGATTGCAGCGAATCTGAGTGATTTTTTCCTTAAAGGGCCGGGCAAAGTCATCACAACGGGCTGCTGAAGGTGCGGCCACATCATTTTCCTGGCCAGGGTGTGTCAAGCCTCGCACCACTCGGAAATGCTCCTCTGGATAGCACTGTGAGGAAGCAATGGAAGCAGAGAAGAACTGTTTCTTTGCTGCCCTCACCGCCACAGCATAGGCTTGATAATGAGCACGTAAGTGTGTTCAGTTAGATTCGTCCCAAGATTTCCTCCACCTGTGCTCTAATTGTCTCCCAGCCTGCTTCATTGCCCACAACTCAGGTATATACCACCGTGCCAAGCGGGCTATTATAGGCAGGAGAGGAATCTTAAGAGTGATCATGTCAATTGTCCTAGTCATCTCCCTATTCCACAAATCATGTAGGACATCAACAGGTGCGCCAGCTTTATCCACCGGAAAATCCCCCAGAGCCCTCAGGAATCCATCTGGGTCCACCCAGCTCCGGGGGCAGACCATCTTAATAGGGCCCACACCCTTCCGGAGGAAGAGATCAGTCTCGAGCTCAAACCTCGCGAGGAAGTGGTCTGACCATGACAAAGGAGTTAAGATCAAATTTCTTACTTCCAGGCCATCCTCTTCCCATCCCGTCAAGAAAACCAGGTCAAGTGTGTGACCTCTTTCATGGGTTGGGCCGGTGATACGTTGGCTGTCCTGGAAGTCCTGAGCCGCCCCAGGCAGAACCGCCATGGTGTGGAGATTGAAGTCCCCCAGGACCAACATCCTGGGGGTCCTCAACACCAGGTCCGAGACGATCTCTGACAGCTCAGGCAGGGAGTCTGCTGGGCAAGAGGGTGCACGGTACACCAGCAGAGTCCCTAATCTGTCTCGATCGCCCAACACCAGGTACAAACACTCAAGACCTGGCCTTGAAGGGACAGGAAGCCTCGCAAGGGAAATACTGGCTCAGTGTACCAAAGCCCCCCCCCCCCCATCTTGGTGTGATTGGTGTTGGACCAGATACCCGGGTGGGAACAATTGCGTGAGGGAGCCATCTCCCCTTTCTCCAGCCCAGGTCTCAGTAATACATGCCAGGTCACCCTCATCATCCACAATCAAATCATGTATGACATGTTTTATTATGGACCGGCCTGGCATTTAACAGCAACACTGTCAGGCCCGAGGGCCGGCTGATATTGCTGCCAGGAACCTTCTGGTTGGGGGAATAACCAGAAGAAGGGACCGGTATCAAACATCAGTCCCTCCTTCTCCTATGCAGGCCTGTTAGACCCCCAATGCCATACCTTCCCTTGCCCATTGCCACCTCAATGGTGGTGCCCACCTGCTCCCCGGGTAAAACCATTCCTAATTAAAACCTAATGAACAGCCACAGAGAAACGAGAGAGAGAGAGAGAGAGAGGACCAAGATCCTCGGTCCAGTCAGCCCCTCTTGGCCCCAAACGGCCCCAAACAGCCTGCCCTTTGGCTTTTGCTGTGGCAGGTGAGTTAAGCCCACACACCTCCCACACAATTCCACTCCAATCTGGCGCAGCTGCCACCCATGCCGGGGGGGGGGGGAGGAGGAGGAGGAAGCGAGTTTTGTATGCAGTTTTTAAATAATAAAAACCCAGGAAGAATGTGTCTAGATATACTCACATATTTTTTTTTTTAGGGGGTGAGGTGGGATGTATATAAAAACCTTCAAAGGGATTTCGGAGAGGGATTTGAAGGATGCCTGAGCTGGTGAAGAGTAGGTATTTTGGGAGGAAATTTTGTGGTCACACAATGAGACTTTGCGTATACTATGAAAACACTTGAGACCATTCTAGAACCCTCAGGAACAATTTTCTATAATAATTTATTATTACATTTATGTCCCATCTTTTTCTTCTTGCAAAGGAACCCAAAGTGGTTTATGTGATGGTCTTCCTTCATTTTATCCTCACAATAATCCTGTGGGGTAGATTAGGCTGAGAAGTAATGACTGACCCAAAATCACCCAGGGAGGTTCTATCAGGAATAGAACCTGGATTGCCTGGATCTTAGTGCAACACTCATCACAACAGCAGACTGTGTTTTTTTTAATCAACGGAAACAAAAGACTATGAACCGAGCCACAGTGTTTTGCTGCCACTGAGGAAACATGCTTTTAAAAGTGCTTGGAACCTGTGAACTGTTCAGATATCAGTGGATGTATGCAGTTTGATTAAGTTTCCATGACTGGGACAATCTGTTTCTCCCCATAGATTTTCCCTCTCATGTTTTGTCTTTTTTATTTAGCCTAATATCCTATCATTTTATAGCCTAACTAGAAGAATAGAACATTCTGGAAAAAATCCTGCATCCAGAATACATTAAATTAAACCACACAACATAAACTAACATGAAATTCCTCAGCTTTTGGTTATTTGAGAGTACCGTGTGGCTCAGGTTTCAAACATAATTCCCTTGATAATAGCTTTTTTTAAAGACACTTTTGTTGGAAATGTACTTGTCTCAGGAAAAAAAAGTCATGCTTTTTAATGATGTCCAGGGATCATTTATTGAACTTATTTTACAGGCAACATGAAGAAGCAAGGAACCAAGAAAATGTCTGTAGATAAAAAAAGTAAACAGTACAGAGAATGTCCACAGCATTATGCCCTTGAAGAAATAAAACAACGAAAAGTATTAGATCTTCGCAGATGGTAATATATAAATACAATAATTAATATTAGTATAATTCTGAATGTTTACAGCTGAATGCTTTGACACCTTTTTATATTAGTCCAGATTGTAATAGCAGAATTATTACTCAAATCACAGGAATTTCTGGATTGTAGAAATGTTAAATAAAAATATACATATACAGGAAGTCCCTGGGTTATGAACAACCCATACTTAGGAATGAGCAAACCCAGAAGTCCCGCCTTGTACTTGAGAAACAAGTAGTCTGTGGGTGGCGAGCATTGCCCATGGGCATTGGGTGGCAAGGAGAGGGAGGGAGGGAAGGGAGGCAGGAGGGAAGAAGCAGCACCGGCGAGCAGCAGTCAGAACTAGAAAGCAACTCAGTGGTAATCCTCACCCTGCTAGCAGGATAATCAAACCTTCACTCTTTACCACCAGTGCTCTTCTCCAACACCAGTCTAATCTCCATTATCATCCAGTTAATGTTAAGCATAATGTTAGCTCAAGAAGTGTTAGCTCAAGAAGTGTTAATCTTTAGTAATTTTTACTATTTTTTCTATCTATCTAAACTGTGTTAAGAACTGTACTGTGTACCTACACACATACATAAAGATTTTCTCTCTTCAGTACCATTATTATTATTAAAATGCTTCATTTTAAGATGTTTTCATGTATATGGAACTGTTTCATTTTATGTGCTTTTTATATACATGATCTGACTTACGTACAAATTTGACTTCAGGATGTTCTCAGGCATGGAACTTGTCAGTAACCCAGGGACTACCTGTATTACAAGAGCACTGTGCTGTTGTACATATGGCATGTAATTATTCCTGCATGTTCTTGTGGGGACAGGATAATACAATATTCTAAGATTAAGGGGAAGAGGTAGAAAAAAAACTGGCCAAGGATATGTCAAAGATCTTTGGAAATGGATTTTAGGATTTGATGAAAGTCAATTTTTCTTACATTTTTGTTTCCTATGTTCATTGTCCTTGGAACTTTAAAGAACATTTTGGGTGTACATGACCCTCCTTCCTCTTCCCAGCTCTGAAATTAGACTCAAGGAGTACAGTCAGTGTGCTACCACTTCTAGCCAGTGCTCACTCTGAGTTTAGAGAAAAGAAAACAACTGTACTACCTGGTGTAAGTGAAGACATTTTAAACTGCCACCTGTCCTGGCATATGGTAGGAATCTTTGCCGTGTCAGAGACATGGGGTGAAATCTCTCCTAAGCTCCACCATTTAAGGCATAAGCACTTTCTAGGAGGCAATATTCAAGTAATTTTGGTAAGCTGAAAAATAAAATCATGTGGCTTGGTCCTCTGCAGTTCTTTCCCTGCAAAGTGAGGAACAGGCAGGGAAAACCCTGTCTCAGAGCCTGCCTTTTCTTGCCACTCTGGCAGGTGGTTTTGACCCCTGCTACAGGAGGACAAGGTACACCGGGTGTATTGGAGGGCCCTTGTTTTCTTTAGCTTGCTTGACTTGGGTGGCTTGTTAGAACAGAGTTTCAGGATTTCTAAAACAGATGGACTAAGTTGCTGTCAGTTTTTCACAGTGGCACAATGTCCCCAGCAGGCCATATGAAAATGCACTGAAATAAGGATTCTTACTAAGCAATCTCCTACTCAGTTTGGTTGTTTCACAGAGACATAGCAGTATTAGCCAATTCTTTAAAGTAAATGGCAAAACTATGTTAAGGCATCTGCACATCATCTCCCTAAAAAGGCATCTTGTCTCAACTTCTGTAAGGTATATTGCTACCCACTTGGCTGTTAATCTCTAGGGAAGCTGTTCTAGGCAACTCAACATGTTATTTCAGATAAGGACAATTGTTTCAGCTGTGAATTCCAAAACCAGATGTATACTTTTTATTTGTATAGAGTACAAATGAAATACATTGGTTTTATATTTATGTCTGAACCATAACAAATGAAAACTTAACATAGCTGCATGAACAATGTATTCTTTTTAAGGTACTGTGTAAGTCGGCCACAATATAAGACATCCTGTGGAATTTCCTCTTTGGTCTCTTGCTGGAATTTCCTATACAGCACAATGGGGGCTGGAAAGTAAGTCATTCTGCAACAGCTATTTAAATGGTTCACTTGGGCATATGTCCTGTTGGACTCAGTGGGGCTTACATCCGAGTAACTGTGCTAATGATGCAGCTTAACCCTTGCATTTTATAATGTGTTACATTTTCATCTTTGGAAAAAAACAGCTTACCTCCTATCACTCAAGAAGAAGCTTTGCATATATTGGGCTTTCAACCTCCTTTTGAAGAAATTAGATTTGGTCCGTTTACTGGAAATACAACATTAATGAGGTAAAATAGCATGCTTGAATTCTCAATCTGTTCCATGGGGTGGCAGTGCACACATACACAGACAAGCGTTTACGCTCGCACAAGACACATTTATCGAGGTGCCAGTGCATGCAGCACCCCCCTCCACATGCATTCGATACTATTCAAATTATTATTACTCCGTAGAGGTAGGTTAAGGCTACTATATTATGTGGGAGCAAACTCCACTGAGTTCTGTGGGGCTTGCTTCTAAATAGACCTGTACATGATTATGTTGTAAGTAGCACTGCCCTTTTGAGTATCCAAAACTTGTACAGAACATTATGTAACACACAACATACTTTGTTGTGCTATTGAAGCTTTTCGCATCAGGTGAACTGGCCTTAATATCACAAAGAAGAGGGATTGGAAAGAATCTGTTAGTGACTCAACCACATTTATATGGAGGAGAAAGACAATCAGAAGGAAGCAGGGAAGAGCCAAAAGGGCAATAGGAAAGAAGAGGAAGTGCTTAAGAAAAGATGGTTGGAAGAGGGGTTGTCTGTTAGAATTAAGGAACAGGGAGAATGTCAGAAGGAAAAAATCTGAATAGAGGCAGAAAACAGGAGGAGAGCACAGAATTGTATGTGTATGTATGGAAGTCTGAAATTTACATATTAATTTGACATAACCAACAAAATGCAGGCCTGTACTATCCCATTTATTACAAAGACGCTACAATTGTATTCATACTTATTTGAGGGTAAGACCCATTGGATTCAGTGAAAGTTGCATAGGATTGTGTTGCTTGTTTGATTAGGGAATGCTGCAAGCATAAATCCAATTGTAAAGGAGAAAGAAGAGGGGCACATTTCTTACTGTGGTTTGATAGATTATTTTCTTTGCATTTAGAACACATACTCCTGTGTTTTTCAGGTGGTTCAGACAAATTAATGATAATTTTCATGTGAAAGGATGTTCATATTTTCTCTATAAACCTCATGGGAAGCATAAGACAGCTGGAGAGACTGGTAAGTAGTTAATTTTAAAAATAAAAATGAATAAGAAAATGGGAAAGATAACACAAAGTGGTCAACAATTCTGTAACATGCTCATTTTTGGATGTTGAAAAATGTAGGCTTGCCATCACTTCCACCAGGCATTGTTCTCTTAATTGCTAACTGAAGCAGGAGAAAAGACTTTGGTGGCCCTTTCCTGATTAATTTCTGCACGGGCCTGTCAAGCAAGCTTCTTCTCTCACCTAGTATGTGGTAAAAGCAGTTCTCTGTGTGTGCTGCCCACCATAGTTGAGAAGAGACTTGGATGACAAACCAGTTAAGGAAACAAAGAGCGTCACTGTGGTCTCTCCTCTTACTTTACTTGGAGAACTAGGGATGTATTGAGTGTTAGTATAAATCAGAATCATTGCAAGGATTCTGCCCTAACTAGGGCGAACATTGGATGCAGCCTCTGTAGGCTCACCTGAGCTGCTTCTGGAGGTTGCATAGAACTTTCCTCATTGGGCAAGTATTTAATTGGCTTTGTTTTAATGTTGTTGTTGTTGTTAGTCGCGAAGTCGTGTCTGACCCATCGCGACCCCATGGACAACATTCCTCCAGGCCTTCCTGTCCTCCACCATCTCCCGGAGTCCACTTAAGCTCACACCAACTGCCTCAGTGACTGCATCTAGCCACCTCATTCTTTGCTGTCCCCTTCTTATTTTGGTGTCAATTGTTCCCAGCATTAGGGTCTTCTCCAGGGAGTCCTTCCTTCTCATTAGGTGGCCAAAGTATTTGAGTTTCATCTCTAGTATCTGGCCTTCTAAAGAGCAGTCAGGGTTGATCTTCTCTAGGACTGACTGGTTTGATTGCCTTGCATTCCAAGGGGAGTCGCAGGAGTCTTCTCCAGCACCACAATTCAAAGGTCTCAGTTCTTCGGCGCTCAGCCTTCCTTATGGTTGTTTTAATAGTATATTTTAATCAAATATACTAACAAACTATATATAATTTAGAAGCTATGGTTTCTGTCTTGATGAGATTTTTAAAATAATGCATATATTTCCTATATATGAAGTCCCTTACACTTTACAAGCACATTGTGTATTTTTTATTTTTTTGTATAGGTGCTAAATCTAATAGGATGTTAATACAGACCAATCTAATTTGTCAATGATTTTATTTTAATTTGTAGCTTCAGGAGCTTTAACAAAACTAACACAAGGACTGCGTGATGAATCGATAGCCTACATTTATCATTGCCAAAATCATTATTTTTGTCCAATTGGATTTGAAGCAACCCCAGTAAAGCCTAGTAAAGCATACAAGTAAGATTTCTGTGATGTGCCTGGTGCTTTTTCATTATTTATTTATTTATTTATTATATTTATATCTTGCTATGTGACTGCTTGTTTCAAATGTTATTAAATACAGGCTTCTTTGGGTTGTGGTATGCTCAAGATAGGGAGGCCTTAGGTAAAAGGAGCAATATATAACAATGAAGTGGTTTGGGGTTAACGGGCTTAGAAGGGTTGATTAGAAGGACAGTTCCATTCATGAAATGGGGGTTTCTTAGAGTCAAAGGGATCCTTCTATTGCAGAAGTTTGATTCTGCCTGATGATTTTTGAATTGGAAAATGGAGTGAAAAGTTCAGAGGTGGCAATCTATTTATGCATAAATATTTTGGAAGCTTACAGCTCACATCAAGCAGTGGAAATGGTACCAGAACAGCTGTGAAAAGGCTAGTTTTGTTGCATTAAAAACTGCTGAGGGTCTTTTCTAGAAATACCTGAAGTGGGATAAGCATATAATTAATACTAAACGAAGGGAAGAGACCATTTAATTTATTCTGCAACCTCACTTTCTTCATCTAGTGATAATCCACAGATCATAAACTGAATGATATCAACATCACATCCAAAATGTTTTTTCAGGAGCATTTGATGACCAGGCAATTTACTGAGAAAAAGTATCCATGGAAAATGGTTCTAGAGGGACAAGATCCACCAGATAAACAATAATGCTACAGTTTTAGAGTGTGAAGACTAGAAAGACTATTATTATATATTAATTGCTTTACCTTCCATGATAAGCACAGTTACACTGAAGGAAGTTAATTCCCCACACATACTGCATTTGAGAGATCTATCTTAAGTCTTACCTCCTTCATTTGAAAGTTGGCCTGGAACAGTTCTCTGTGCTGAGATGATGTCTCTGTCTCTGTCTCTCTCAACTTACTAAATAAAAGGCAGTGCACAGAAAGTTTTGCTTTTATATAAAGAAAGTAACCAAAGGAACTACCAAAATCTGTGTCTTCATTGGCCAGAAACAGGATATTGCACTGGAACACAAAGTAAAAAAAAAAATACTACTCTTTCATTGTTTTGTACTGTTTACCCAGTTCATTAACAAATGTGCTAGTTTTGAATACATAGGAAGCTAATACTCTTCCTTTTAAAATACACCTGAATTTTATCTTCTACTTGCCTTCTGAAAGTATTTGTTCCACACAGGGGAGACCATCAAGCCACCAAAATGAAAAACAAAAACAAAACCCCAGAGCAACAACACTTAAGTTTAACTTTAAGTTAAAAGTTTAACTTTAAGTTTTATTTAACAAAAAAGGTGTTATATAAAAGTTCAGCAATTACCTAGTAATACTGGGACACACAGGGCATTTTTTGTCATAGAACACACCGGAACGGCATTCTGGCACTTTTTTTTCCAATGGATTTTACGAAGTGATTTTGAATCACCTGTCAGCATAGCAGGTCAGCAGCAGACATCATTAACATAGTGCCTGCGGGCTGCTTGTGTGTCAGCGCTGATAGTGAGAGTGCTGCTCGGCTTGGGACGCTGCTCGGCTTGGGATTGGTGTGTGTGGTCGCACGCTGAGTGCTTACTGCCATCGGTGACTGTTATGTTTATGTGTGTGTAGAGTGACTGGCAACGTGCAAAAGGTAAATAAGTTCTTCATTTCAAAAAAAGTTGGTGAATTGAAAATCTTTTTAGTGTAAAAGTGTGACCCCAAGAGGTGAGTTCCGGCGCTTTTTTTTTTTTTTTAAACAAAAAAAGCACTGGGAACACACATTATCCCTTCCAAAACCCTTAGAAAGCTTATCCATGAGGTTTCTTAACCATGTTAAAACTGAGTTTACCCTTTTTTGCACCAGAGGGCGTCTCTTACAACAGGAAGTGGAACACTGGATCCTCATTGGTGAGCCTAGCAGAAAGCATTCCACTATTCACTGTAAGAAGTAAGTTAGCTCATTTTAGTGAACTTACTAGATATATACGCATTAAGAACTTCATATTGCTCACAGAGCTGCTGTCAAGGCTTGTGCAAAAAAATGAATGTGAACACTGATTGAAAATACACTTATTCAGCTTGCTTGTTAACGAAACAGTTGAATTTAGTTTGGTAGTGAATATGAACTTCCCTTGCTGGGAACTTTTAAAATTACGTACTGTTTATGACTCATTAACACCCCTGCCCCTGCCCCTGCTCCTGCCCCAGCAACATAACCCAATGGGACCTGACATAGTGGCCATTCATTGCCTAGCTTTAGATTTAAAGGAAAGGCCATCTGCTTAAATTTGTAGAAGTCTCAGACTGCAGCAACTCTTAGCAGCTTTGTTGTATTGCATGGTACTTTAACTTTGGGTTTCATGTGTTCATTTTTCATTGTATTTTAAAGATGGACAGATATTGTAACTGACTTAAACACTCAAAATCCTGAATACCTAGATATTAGGCACTTGGAAAGGGGCCTTCAGCATCGGAAGACAAAGAAGGTAAGATTGCTTCGTATTAATACAGAATTGGATATGTTGCCTCAAATCGCATTTATAAAACACCTTAGGATGGTTTGCCTTAGAACTCTAGCTATTGAGGCAAAGGCTGCAGGATTAATCTATATAGAGGAACAGTTAATTACTCTGTACTTAACAGGTAAGGAAAACACAAGGCCAGGAACATCTGATAGTAGTAGGTTTACAATTAATGTGCTTTCTAGTCTTCCTACCTGAACTAACTAGAATGACTGATGCAAGTGAACTACTAAAACTGCTTATCTGTCAAAAATAATGTTCTTAATGTAGTGTCAGAAAGGGAAATGATCTGCCAAGCTTCCCTGTGCAGAATATTCTGGGTTCTTTTTACTGCTCCACTTTTTTGTAGGGCAACTAAACCTAAAATCATGCACTTTAGATTAATACAAAACTTGCCACACTTATATGTATTAGCTGATACTAAACATTTTTATATGAATTCCAGTAAGCTATGCAATCTTAGGGAGCAGGTGGTGGACAAATGATTTATTCTGTCTTTTAGTTTGCAAGCTATGATTTTTATCTTTAACCATTTTATTTGCTTTATAGTCAACATTTTTTTTTAAACCACTTAGTCCCATATCCACACTCTTAACCACGACACCACACTGGCTTGTGATTTTTAGCAAGAGTCTACCCCCTAAGAGATGCAGATCTGCAGCAATCATGTGATTGCTTACCCAAGATTTTCCCTGCTATCAAAGTGAAGTGACTTACAGCAGTTCCACCCCTATCCATAGATAGGTTCCAAGCCCCCAGTGGATGCCCAAAACTGCAGATAGTAACAAACAACATATACCATACATATACATTTATTTTTAACAATTTAATAGAAATTTGTTCTTACTATACATTCTAGCAACCTTGGCATACATTTTTTTCTTTCCCTATTAAGCATTTTCATTTAAAGGAAGCACTTTATGACTTCTCTGGCACTTTAAGAAACTTTACAACTTCTCTTTTGGACCTCTTCTCAGTGTTCTGGCACTTACTAGAAAAATAGCTGATTCAAGAAATCAGTCACAGATCAGCTCTGAGACAGGCTGGTATTAAGTTGTTTCCGGTAGTTATAGCTGTTCATATTTGTATCAATATAAGAATATATTTGCATATTGAAGATGCTCTATAAGATAAGTGCAGACGTGCAACAGATATAAATTAGTGTTACATATACATAGGTGAAACATGAAGTTGCTTCACATATTTTCACCAGCTGTTTGTTTCACCAGCCATAATGGTGGGTAAAGATAATGATACAGCAGCTCTCTTGTGCAGGCTTTAAAAATTAGGAAGGAATATCTTTAATGGAAAATGGAGAGAGAGAGGAAACAAAATCATAGTAACTTGGTACCAAAGCTAGAACTGTGGATTACATTTTCCTGAAATGTTTCCTAATTCTTAATATGTAAGCCAGGGGTAGGAAACTTTTGGTCCTCCAAATATTTTGGCTGTGATGGCTGCAGCTGATGATGTGTGTAAGTCAAAAGATCTTGAGGGCCCTCCCCAATGTATACGGATGAGTAATGTTTTTCTAATATGTGACAAACTGTTCTGATTTTTAGGTAGGAGGAAATCTGCATTGTATCATTGCTCTTCAGAGGCTTAACTGGCAACGGTTTGGTCCCTGGAACTTTCCATTTGGAAACACCAGGCAAGACTTGCAACCCCAGTCACACACACAGGGTATGGCCAAATCTGAGAGCGAAGACAATATCTCTAAGAAGCAGCATGGGCGCCTGGGTAGATCTTTCAGTGCTAGTTTCCACCAGGAGTCTGTCTGGAAGAAGCTTTCCCATCTTCACGAAAGGCGGAATAGTGGTTTTCAGAGTTACACTGACTGTGATGGGAATGATTAAAAGGAACTACTTGTCTAAGGGCGGTAATATAAAATATTCCTCAGATATGGTAATGCTTATGCACAGAGTAGGGAATGGATAGTGATTTCAGTACAGAATGCAATCTTAGGAATGTTTGTTGCATTAAATATGTGAATAGTTATGCTGGGAATGATGAGAGATGTTAGCTCAAGCACAGAATATTGTACACTTACAATCAAATATAATCAATATAATCAGTAACAGACCCTGTGTTTCAGACCATGAAATCAGAACAAAGCCACAGTGAGGGAGAACTGGAACTTATTATGAGAAGAAATAATACCCAAAGCATGAGATGTGTTGCTTTCCAAAATGATTTATTAAACATACATTCTATAATGGTGGTAAATGTACAACGTATAATTGCTTTAAAAATCTCCAAAATGCAATAAGGACATGGTCTCCTACAAAACTTAGGAAGCATCAGATGTTAAATGTATATAATTTAGTGGTCTGTTCATTTGGAACATTGTTCTGTAAAACTTGAGTTGTTTGCATTAAATGGGGACCTTCTTTAACAGTTAGAAGCAATGATGTTATGATTCCTCCTGGAAAGAAGAGGTAGCTGCTTGCTTCATTTTTAGAGGGGGGAGAAAAAACTATCACTGCCAGGTGTATACTCTTCCTGCACCTTTTTGGTGTAACCTGAATTCACTTCACATTTGATAGGCTGCTTGTAAAGAAACCCTCAACTCATCTTATTTGCCAACCCAAAGAGCACCTGAACTTGTAATCTTGGGCTGCACCTATGGTTTTTCCCTTGTGGTTTCTGGATCATGTCACTCCTTTATCTTTTATTGTAAATAAGGGAGATGCTTTAAGTGCCGAAACACACTTGCAGCCACAGTGATATATACCTCTTTGGCCAGAACACTGTTTGTATTTTTTTCAAATGACCATGTCAAGTAGTTTTATTTGGAAATATATTTTGTTCTCATATGAAAACATTTTAATAAAAAATACCAGTGGGATCAAGGATTATTGTGCTATTTTGTAGGTTTGGAATTGTTGTAATCTAAAATAAGAGACTTAGTATTTCCTTTGAATAAAATTATTTTCTTCTTTTGTGTCATGTATATATTCCAAGGCAGTTTGACACAAAAAGATTTAAGTACTCACAAGCTTGCTCTTTGTATTTCTTTCAGAAAAGAAAATCCCATTGCATAAAATACTTACGTTCAAAATAGTATGTCTCTTCTCTTGCTCAAATGAGGAAATGAGTGGGTACAGAGTGATCTAGCTGTGGTCCAAGGACTTGACCTGGACCCAACTGTATTAACTTGTACTAAGGTGCCTTGCTAACTGAAACCATTTCAGTTTTCATGGTAGCAAGACTGCAGCAGCTTTATTCCCCTTTTTGGCCTTGCCTGATATATCCTCTTCCTCTTCAGTAAATAATGGACTTTATGCACAACAGGAAATGTACTTCTGCTCCATTACTACTAGTGTTGGCAAATGTGTGCATATTTCTTTGTTAAACCCTTTGGTCACTGTTTTATGGGAAATGAAAATCATTTTTTAATAAATGTGGTACAGAGTCAGTGAAAACAAGGTACACAAATACTGTGTAGTTGACACTATGGTGCTGGTAAATAATCAGCACCAGTCTTTTAGTTCGCTGTCACTTACCGTCTTAACCATGCTGTTAATCTAAACCATTTCTAATCTCACAGCTTGCTTCATCAATTAGGGCAACATCACTTCTGTTCCAGCCTGTGCCAGCTTCTATAGCTGCTTTTATCTTTGGCAAGCTGCTGATTGACCAAAATGGTGGCACTGCTTGACATGCATGAAGCTCCAACTTCCATCCTTTTATCTACAGTGGAAAGAACCTTGCATAGTTACGCTTGACATAACCTCTGACTGAGACTTTAGAGAGCTGCTGCCAATCAGTTCTGGGGTGGGTAGGCCTATAATTTTACTCCGTGAAACCCCCAGCAACAGACCTGTGGTCATTTCTAGCAGCTGGTGACCAAAGCATGATCAGAGAAAAATGTGTGCCTATGAGAACTACTTCTCTTGAGTAGCTCAGGTAGCATCCCTAGAATGTTTAGCAGGCTCTCTCTGAAGTGCTGAATTCCAACAAGCTGGACATCCTCCCACAATTAAGGATATTGTGGAGCTGGTTCTCCAAACGGGGGAGGTAAGAGCTGCATACATAATGAGGCTGACCGCATTGTTCCATACCCTGATCACCTTTCTGGTCATGCAACATCCACCAGGCTGAGTGTGGGGGAATGTCATTCTTTTCTATGGCACAGAGTTGATAGGTGTGTGTAAATTAGCATGTTTGAACATGATATCCCACTAGTTGGATCAGCCCGTGCCCAAAGCACTGAGAAATGGAAACCCCAGTTGTTAAAACTGTAGCTAAACTATGGGATTTCCTTCTACAAGGTGTAGTGATGGCCACCAAACTGGAAGGCTTTAAAAGGGTGGGTTGGACCAGTTCATGGCCTCTAGTCTTGATGGCTTTATACCTCTATAAAGTGCAAGTCTATGTACGCTGGTTATGGGGAAATTGAGATAAAATGCGCTTTCCTCCCACTATTCCTTTTGCAGTAGATAGGAAAGCTGGACTCTAGGCAGAACAAGGACCTTATTAGAATTTGAATCCTGATGTACTCCAGCTCATGAGAATTTATACTCTAACAGAGTATAACCGGTTGGTTAGAAATGTGCTGGCATCCTGTCTGCAACTGCCCTAGGCATCTGGGGAGGTCGTGGCAGCTTAGCCGCCCTGGCTAGTACCTACTAAGATGCGGCACACACAAGTGCTGCCGCAGAGCTCTCGGTGACGGGACCCTCCATTTCCCCCTGGAGTAGCAGTTCAGGAAAAAAAGCAGGCAAGTGGGTCGTGGCTGCAAGGCGCGGCTGTCGTCCCGGCTCTTTGCGGGAGGCAAAGCAGCACACGCAGAGCCTGCGGCGCTCCCAGGGGACTTGCGTGCGTGCTTGCGCTCAAGAATGAACCGAGCGGGCAGGCAGCGTACACCTCACGCTCCCCTTCCTGCTCGGGAAACATGTCAAGGATCGCGCCTCGTGCGACGTGGCAGCGCCTCTTGAGCTCGCTTCCACCTTCCGTTTGGGCTCCGCGTTTCTTTTCACGCGGGCTCTCCAGGGCGGGAAGCCCATACGAAAGGCAAGCGCCCACCGCCGCGCCCCGGGACTACACAGCGAGCAAACAGGCCGGGTGCTCCAGGCACTGCTTGGAACGATACGATTAAATGAGGCTGCCCATGGGAGGAAGCTGCTGCTCCTTGCAGAAGCCTGCGCGCCTCCTCGGTTTCTAGGCCCGAGTCCCTCTCCCCGGCCCTAGGGGGAAACCACGTTGGGGCCGAGCGATCGCGCGCCCTCGCTTGCCCTTGCCCCCATTCCCCACGTGCGTCGAAGGGCAGAAATAGCTGCCCCTTCTCCGCTCGTTCTCCCTTCCCAACTTGGCTCCCCCTGGACCTTTCTGACTGCCACTCCCATCTTCCCCGACGGTTGGCGATGCAGGTGAGGGAAGATGGGGTCTATTTGGCGAATAAGGAAGCGCTGGTGCCCGGAGGCTTCTCTGACTTGCTCTCTACACCGCCGCTCACCCCGCCCTGCCTATGCGGCTACCGAGAGACACTGAAGAAGCGGCTAGTGCCTTAAAGTATCGCAGGTCGCCCCGCTGGAAAGGGAAGGATTGGGGCCGTTGGCAGCGTAAAGTCAAGAGGGAGACCAAGGGCCGCCTATCCTGCCCCCAGCAAATCTGGAACCAGCCATGGTTTAAGGCTGGCTCCTCGCAATGAGCGTGGAGATCGTCCTTCATGCTGGGGAGCACAGCGAGTGTTTTCGGCCCGTTTCATCGATGCCCCAAGGAAGCAAGCCGTTGAGTTGAGTGGGGCTTGCTCTCAGGGAAACGGGCACAGGATTGTGGCTTTGCACTATAGCCCAGCTACCTTAGAAAAGAGCACGCATTATTTCATTCGGCGGCTACAACACGAGAAAGAGCCGCAGGGGGAGGATCGGGAGAGCGTTCGCTCCGTCGCTAGATTTTGTCCATTGCAGCAATGAGGCGCAGATTCAGAGAAACTACATCTCCCAGCAGGTAGTGGGACACAGGCGGACTTAGTGTGGTGGCGCAATCGTCCTTGGCGTCATATTATTGCGACTGTGGGGGTGAGGCAGAGGGTATGTTTATGCGGTCCCGAGTGAGACCTTCTTTTCTCCGCAACTTTAAGTGTCTGGGTTGAACGCGTCTCGGCTTCTCTCTTCTGCCCTTGCCTAAAAACGGGGTGCGGGGGGCGGGGTAGTCCCTGTCCTTGTCCTTCTTTTCAACCCCATGGTAAGGTCCGGGAAACGGGGTTTCCTCTCAAATGACAGCCTCAGTAGGATGCGCACGTCTGGGATTTGGCTTCAGTATTAGGAAGCTTTATAAATGAGGATGAATTAGTATGATTAATGTACACAGCAGTTTGCAGAGCGACCGCAAAGAGACAGGTCCCTGCCCCGAGAAGCACATAATTAGATACAGGAGATAGGGGCTCGGGAGATGGAGGCAAAGTTAAAGATCAGAAATATGCATGTTTAGGTCAAACGTGGTGTTCTCCAGTACCATGCTGGGGGTGACTATGAAGGTGATGTGTGTTGTACTCCAACGCACAGGTGCTGGTGAATTTGCAGCTGCAAATAAGAAGAGTGTATGTCTGTCTCAAATTTTGATAAACTCTGGTTGCTAGTGTTCAGCTAAATACTTTGTGACTTTGTGCAGTGCTAGTAGATACTACAAATAATAATGGATAAAATATGCATGTGTGGCTAGATGAGCTGAGCAGGGCTGTCAAGGACAGGGCATTTTTGTGGGCACTCATTCATAGAGTTACTTTAAGCTGGAGATGACAGCATGTAAAAAAATTAGATATTGTTCTACTTTGATTATGCATGTGTGTTTTTATTGTGATGTTAGTCCAATTTAACCAATACTGTTACTGATTCTAACAGATTCAACTTTTATGAAATCGCTTAATGAAAGATGGGAGTTCAAGGACTTTGGAAACTGCTGGAGTGCTCTGGAAGACCTATAAACCCAGAAACACTGGAAGGAAAAATTATTGCTGTTGGTATCCTTATGTTCAATCTATCTATGTAAATGCCTGGTTAGTTTGACCATCAGAATGACATATCGCCCAAAAACCTGCTGGTGGAGTTAACAGCATGGCATAGGCATGTACTATGAGCTTTACATACTTACTGCTGTACCTGCAGACTGCTTAAACTTTCCCTGAAAACAACCAGGTTGGTGCAGGTTCCCAACTTCTTCCAGTAATCTGTTCACTGGAGAAAAGTTATTTAAGCTGTGACCCCTGAGAGTAGGCTCCATTGAGCTTCTGAACAGACAAGTATAGAACTTTGCAGTTATGCAATATTACTGCTCTTGCAGACCTTTGCCCATATATTGAATGATTTACAAATAATAATGCTGGTTTCATTCAATTTCTATGCCACCCCATAACCTGAAAGTTCCCTGGCCCAGGCAAAATTCCACACCAGTGGCAATTTGTATGACCATCTGTTAAAACAGTTGAGAAACAGCTAGCATATTGTCTGCAGTTATTAGCTATTATTATTTATGTAAAACTTTTATATGCTGTCTCTTATGCATGGCACCTCAGGATGACTTACAATCATTAAAATAAAGTACACTAAAACAATCTCTAACAATAATAAATAACATATAGCGAATAAAAATAAATTAAGTAAAAAGCAACTGTACATTAAAATACTAACTTTTAAAATAATGGTTAAATAAAAAGGTTTTGACCTGGCACTGAAAAGATTATAAGAGTATTACATCTCTCAAATTGCTCATGAGGTGCAGATGACTCTGACCAAGTCCTGTGATGCTTCCTAAAACACTAAAAAAATTGTATGTGCTTTCATGGGCTAGAGACAATTAAGCTTTTTATATGTTTCTTGTTTGTGTGTATTGGCTTTTGGTTTTTTTTCTTATGAATGTTTTTTAAAGATATCAGCATTTGGTTGAATCAAGCTGTTAAAGGAGCACGGGACCGTCATGGAAATTCTGTCCAAAACGCTCATCTCCTCTCTTTGTTTCACCGACTCTGTAAGCTGCTATTCTTTCGAATCCGCCCTGTTTTTGTTTTTGATGGAGAAGCACCACTTTTGAAGAGGCAAACTTTGGTATGTGCATTGTGCAGGATTTTGAAATACTAAGCTGTGTAGAAGGTTGTAATTTACAGTGCAATTCTATACATTTCTACTCAGAAACAAATCCCACTGAGTTTATTGGGGCTTATTTCCTGTTAAATGAGTGTAGAATTACAGCCACAGACTGTATTTGTATACCTAATTATCTGGGAAGAAGCCCCATTCAACTAATTGAAGGTTAACTTCTAGGTAGATATGTATAGGGTTGCACTGCTGATGGAGTAAAAAGGAAGCATCAGCAAAATGGAAGAACTTATGTGCAAGTCTTTTGAGTCACAATAAATGTTGAAATCTCCATTGAGCCTGTGGTTTAGTTGTGGAAGCCAGTTATCAGGGACTTTGTATTTAATGCAAGAAGTAAGCTGATACGAGAACTCATTGAAAATACACTAGTTGATACTAAATGGGAATTACAGCACAATCCTATGCATGCATACTTAGAGGCAAGTCCCACTGAGCTCAGTGGGGCTTATACCAGGGCAAGTGTGTAGAGGGTTGTTGCTTAAGGAAAATAACATAATCATATAATACGAAGCATCCTTTCACTAATTGCTGCAGGCTAAGCGAAGGCAACGAAAAGAAGTTGCAGCCACTGACTCCAAGAAAACCACAGAGAAAATTCTGACAACTTTCCTGAAACGACAAGCTCTCAAAACTGCTCTAGCAGGCAAGAGGCAAGAACATACCCTCCATATGTGTGTTTTCCACTCTAAATATGATGTTTCTGCTAATATTGTAAATCTTATTTTTTTCCCAGCAATGCTGACCTCCCTAGTCTTTCAGAAATAAGAAGAGAAGAAGTAGATGATATTTATGTATTACCTTCCTTACAAAAAGATACAAAAGGCAGGTGAGTGAAATGAACTGTTCAAAAGAATAGCAATAACATATCCTTGCTTTTTATGGGAAGTGTGTAGATACTTAGCAAATTATCTTTAATGTTGTAACAGCTCAGAAGAGGAAGATGAAAAGGAATGGGAGGAAAGAATGACGCAGAAAAAGATGCTGCAGGTAATTAAAAAAACATTTCTTTATGCATTTTTACATTCCTCCATACAAATGTTTGAAGCCATGCTGAGAGGCCGTTGGTCTGATCCTATTCTAGTATCCCGTTTCCTGAAGTGATCAACTGGATGCCTCTAAGATGACCAGAGGAAAAGCCATCTTCCTTGTATCATTCCCAGAACTGGTAATTAGAGGCTTCTGCTGCCTCTGATGCTGGTGGTCACAAGCCACTATTTCTCAGGCCCTCTCCCCTGCAGTGCAGGGCTAGCGATAGTGAGCTATTCTGCAGGGTTGTTGTAAGAATTACACGAGACAACACATAGGAAATATTTTGAATGCTGCTACATGCTCTTATTTCACAATAATTGATTTGCTGGATCAGACCAAAAATTCATTTAGTCTAGTGATCGCTTCCCAAGAATGTCAAACCAGAGATTTAGGAAAACTCATAAACAGAGTGCAGTGTAGTTAGTAGCCACTTCATGGAGGAGCATGCTATACTGGTTAAAAGCTAGAGATGTTTGTAGTTATCAGGGGTTAATATAATAGGCCTGTCCTGTATGAATCCCTGTATAATCAGCATACAAATTATTACCTTTCCTGAGCTTCAGTTTCAGCACGTATGATGATTTTATATTTGAAAACTTACTTTTCTGTAGCAACCAAAGCAACTCTTAATTGGGAGTTGTTATCTGTCCACCTTCACAAAAGAAAATAAGTCAGTCCACCTGAAAACAAGAAATGTGAGATAACTTAGGTAAAGTTAGTATGATGCATAGTGTCTTCAACAATATTTTTCCTCCCTCTGCTGACAGTCAGCAAGTTGGTTTTTTCATACATATGGACACCCAATTCCCAGTGTTCTGTCAAATATCATTACCAAGAAATCAGAACCCAGAATGGGACCACACAGGTACACAGGTAGGGCTATGCAGATAAGGAAAGGTTTTATTCTCAGCAGTTGGGGTGCCTGGGGACCAGGAGCAAGTCCTCAGAAGTGTCTCTTGAGTGTACCCTTCGCCATTTAAGTTCGTGCTTGCCTTTCATGTTTTGAGAGAGGGTTATAAAAGAATGTTCCTTGGTACTGTTGTGAAGATGGCAAAAGTTGAAGCTGGTTGGTCTTATTCCTGCCTGGATAGCTGTACATCTAGCTAGCATGTCAAGTCACCTTTTCTAAGCTAGAAAGGCATAGGTTTGCACTTGGATAGCCCCTTCCAACTCCCATTCCATTCCATTCCTTAACCTGCAGAGGGCTAAAAAGAGACTTCATATGTATACAGGCCCACACTACACCTCCTAGGTTCCTTATGCATCCATTTTAGTAATTATGTAGTGCCCCAAAGTTGCAGCTTCCTCGGGTGTTCCATTAGGAAGGGAAAACAGTTACTTTAATATCAAATATCTTAAGTGACTGCTAAGTTAGATTGTGTATGTTTATTCTTAAGCTTTAGCATGGTCTGTGCTTATTCAGAGCCCTGACTTCACAAAGTCAGACAGTGTTGAATTGTTGGTTGTTATAATTGTACAGGAAGAACTCTTGGAAAATCCTCACTCTGTAGACGTTGAATCAGAAGATTTCCTGAGCTTGCCCCCTGAAGTAAAGCATGAGATTCTCACTGACATGAAGGAATTCACAAAACGAAGAAGAACCTTATTTGAGGCAATGCCTGAGGTAATGCACAGACCTTCCCTTGCTTTTAGAGCTGGGGAATCCTTCTAGGGAACTCTCTGCTGTGAGACCAAAAGTTTACATGAGGATCTCAGTGTACAGATTTTCAATGTTTAGGCTCCCACCAGGATTCTGACAGCAGAATGTTCATATTTTGTTTCCTATTGGTATTTGAGAATCAAGACAGTTTGTGAGAAAGGGCAAAAATGCATTGAGGTCACTTTTCATCTCCTAAGGTTGTACTGAATGTTAATCTTACATAGAGTTGACCCATTGACATGAATGGGACCCGGTGACACAGGGTATGATGATGGGTATTTCCACTTACATTTTGCAGCTCTGTCATCCTGGTTCCACATCACACTTTCTTTGGGACTAATTTATTGAGAAAATGTGCTTATAGACTAAGAATGTCATACAATTTTGCTAGCTTATTTTTAGGGTCCTACTTGTATGACTGTGTCTTCCTCCATAATCTCGTTTGCTATACATTTATCCAGCTGTTCCATAAAACTATATAAAATGTTACTTAAAACGTCAAAACCTATAATGTTGCAATTTAAAACAGACATTGAATACAAATTTCCAAACTTGTTGCAGCAATAGAATGGATTAAATGCTTCAAATTCATCAGTGGTTAACAGTCAAAGGACTGTTTCAACTGACGTGTGTTAATTGGCTGTACTGTTTTAACTCAGTTCCTGTTTTTTGAGGTACAGTAGACAGGGTAGTCATCCAGTGCCTCTCAGAACGGGACAGCAGCATGCAGAGCCATCTCTTGTTTCTCAGCATATCGACAGCTGACCCCACAAATAGATGCACAGAAATCATTTGCAGACACAAGCTGGTCATGCGACAGCTTGCTGAGTTTAAGCAGCTGTTCGACATCTACCCACTACTCTGTGCATAACCATCTTTTAGCTTTTTGTGGCTGTTTTGGAGCTGTCATACCTAGGCAACCTATTCTTGTGTTACTAGACTTACTGTTTATGGTACCGTGATGATCAAATGTCGCTGTCATTTCCTGAGTAGGGACAAAGTGTTCTGCAGCTTTTATGTTATTTATATCTTGCTTCTCTGTTTAACTAGAGTGATCAAAGCAACCTAAAATAAGAATATAAAAGCACATGGAGGTAAAAATAAAATACATTTTAAACAGTAGCTCTTACTGTAGAAAACTAAAATCTAGTAAACAGTATCACATTTTATTTTTTCAGCAAGCTTGTTAAGTACTTGTTTTTTTTTTCTTAACCATTGTATGTATGAGAAACAAAAGAAGTTGCATAAGGGCTTATCTTAAGTCCATTATGAGTTTCTGGCTGAGCTAGGATTTTTAACCAAGTCTCTTAGAACAGAGATCAATATTTTGTCCACTAGACCCTGCCCCTGGATTAAAAGGACTCACCTTCTTTTATTTTTCAGGCTCCATTCCCAAGCACAGGCTTCCACTTCTGTCCTTGTTGTCCAAGGATGTAATGCCCCCCACCCCCAATGCTGCACTGTCTCTAAACAGCAGGGGTGCAGTGCCCAGGCTTGGGGTCCACATCTGACCAGTCTGCAGCCCCAGTCAAATCCTTCAAGGTTCCTCGATAATATCTCCCCTTTCCCTTGACCACTGATTGTTTAGTAGTTTCGCAGTTTCATGCAGTTTATTTCTTTTCCTAAGGATTGTTTACTGCCAGTATTTCATAGTATTTCTATGCTGCTTCACATTCAATCAGATTCCAGAGCAGTAACCATTTTTGGTTAAAACAAAAGTATTATGTTATTTCATTTCTACACTGCTATAGCCAAAGCCACAATCCATTAGAAACTTTTTTTAAAAAAAGTAACACTAAAACAAAGAAGGTGCCCCAGAACAAGAATGACTTCAGCAGGCGTTAAAACAGCACAGTGTTGGTGCCCGTCTGACATCCTGAGGCAAGGAATTCCATAGAAAAGGGGCCATCACACTGAAGGCTTTTCTCCTGGTGGGCTCCAATTGGGTCATGTGGAACCACTAGGGCAGTGATGACGAACCTTTTAGAGACAAAGTGGCCAAACTGCAACCCAAACCTCATTTATCGCAAAGAGCCAACGCAGCAATAAAACCTGAAAACTGAGTTTTTAGTTTAGAAAAAACAACTGACAAGCAAATATATTTATAACCTTGGCAGCGCACTGACCGGCCATGCGAAAGCTCGGGTGGGTCGTGGCTAATGAGACACGGCTTGTGATGCCATCGCCTAGTGCCGTTACTCCTTTCCAAGCATCCGCATGACCCCTATGTGTGCTGTTATCCGATGCTCAGCTGCTGGGGTGATGGTGGGGTGACTTGGGTCTCATGCTGACAGAGAGGGCACTGCGTGCCCACTCTGGCACGTGTGCCATAGGTTCGCCACCACTGGCGTAACCCTACCCTGGTGCACTCCCCTAAACCTAATATAGGGGTAAAATACTATTGAAAGGGGCAATTTTGAAAAAGCCTTCCTTGAGTAGCTTTTTCTGCACAGCTCATCATTTCTGCCCATACTAAACACATTCCAACCAACAAAATCATGCCAGAACCCCTCGTTTTTCTAACCCTAACCCTACCCTGGTGCACACCCCTAACCCTAATACATGACAAAAGTTCCATTGAAAAGAGGGCGATTTTGTAAAAACCATCCTTGAGTAGGTTTTTCGGCACTGCTCATCATTTCTGCCCATTCTAAACACATTCCAACCATCAAAATCATACTTGGATGCCTCATTTTTCTAACTCCAACTGAGTGATGCTGAACCTTTTAGAGACTGAGTTCCCAAACTGCAACCCAAACCCACTTATTTATCGCAAAGTGCCAACACTGCTATAAAACCTGAAAACTGAGGTTTTAGATTAGGAAAAACAATTCAGAGCCAGTCCAAACAAACACACACACACACACACGGCAGTGCACTTACTGGCCATGCGAAAGCTTGGATGAGTTGCAGCTAATGAGTTGTGGCTTGTGACGTCATTGCCTGGCACCACTACTCCTTTTTCGAGCATGCACATGGCCGCTATGAGTGGTGTTATCCAATGCTTGGCTGCTGGGGCAATGCTGGGACCACGTGGCTTGCGGCCGACTGAGAGGGCTCTGCGTGCCTGCTGTGGCATCTGTGCCATTGGTTCGTCACTACTGCACTGGGAGAATGACAGCTGACAACCTGAATAACTGAGCTCTTTGGTAATGGAGAAGGTGTTCTTTCAAATGCCATGGTCCCAAGTTGTTCTGGGTTTTGTACTAAGGCATGAAACCTGGCCCAATGGCAAATCAGTTGCCAGTGCTGCTCTTTCAGCAAAGGAGTTGCATTCTGAAAAGAGGAAGCTCCCAACAGCAGCTAAGCTGCTGCATTCTGCACTGATGAGCTTCCAGAGCAGCTTCAAGGGCAGCCCTGCAATGATCCGGTCTTGAACTTACCAGCTCCTGAAACACAGGAGAGGCAGTAGCCGGTGAGTCACTCAAAGTTGGCAAAAGGTGCTCTGAAGTCCAGTGGTGTTGGGGCTCCAGTGACAACAATGGATCTAGGAGTATGCCTGGACAATGCACCTGATCTTTCAAGGGAAGCGTAGCCCCATGCAGAACAAGTAATAAGCGTATGTCCTCAACTCAGGAACCACTTGCCCACAAGGCTTCCATATTTTCAGAATTCAGCTTCACTTTATTGGACCTCATCACTCAGGCCAGACTCTGATTTTGGACCTGAACAGGCTTTTCCAATTCAGTTGTCAGAGGGAGATAGAGCTGCATCTCAGCATACTGGAGGAAGTTATTCTTCCTCGGCATTTGAAGTATTTCCTTCTCTCACACAGTAAATGCATTCAGCTTGGAAATGCAGAACGTTCAGGTCATCAAGGCTGATGTGTAACTATTGACTTTGGTTTAAAGGGATCCAGTGACTTCTCCCAGTATCAGCTGAAGGGACTGCTTAAAAAAAGCAGCTTAAATCGTCACATAGAAAAAGTGCAGAAGGAGATGAATGAGCAGCATGCGGGCCAAATCCAGAGCCAGTATGAAGAGGACACGGGGTTCCTGAAAGAAGTAGAAGCCAGGAGAGTTGTGTCTGAGGATACCTCTCACTACATCCTGATAAAAGGTAGCATCGCAGTAATGGTCCAGTTTCTTAATGGTACTGCATGACACTTAAAGCATCATATACATGCATAAGTTGAATCAAATAACTATTGCCACTGCTTGGCTGATGCAACTCCTTCCTTCCTTCCTTCCTTCCCCAGACCTCCGCTATACCATTTAAATAATCAGTGGTTGTCACTTTTTTATTTCAGGTATCCAGCCCAAAGGGGATGTTGTCAGAGATCTGGTGACATCATCTGCAGGCCGTTCTTCTGCAGTGCCTGAAGATTCAAAGCCTAGTGTCAGTATTGACAAGACTCCAGTTAATGTAAATTCTCCTCCGGGTGATCTTTTAAAGACTGAATCAAGTGGAAATACTTATTTAGCACCTCCTTCTCCCAGAACAGTGCTTGCTATCCAGGCTGCAATGCTGGGAAGCAGTTCAGAAGAGGAGCTGGAAGATGAAAACAAGAGTTATCTTGATTCAAATACATCTGGGTCAGGCCCCAGCACAGAATCTGGCAACGTGTCCCCCAGAACACTGAGGGCTATTGAGAAAGCTTTATCCGAGGAGGAACAGGACAGCAGAGCAGCTGTTAGGAATAGCACTGGTGATAGTCAAGGCGAAAGTCCTATGGATGACCTTCTAGCTAGTAACTCAGATGAAGAGGACCAGAGTGAGAAAGAGCTTCCATTTTTATCTGTTGGGCTATCAGGAAATAGAATCATTGAGCAAGAGAGTAAACTGGATCAAAGAGAAGATGGGCTGGCAAAGGATCAGAGTGTATCTGAAAGCCCATGTATCTCTTTTGTGGAAAAAGGACCTTCTTCTGTGTCAGCCAAGGAAGAAAGAGGTGTGGGGACACAAGCTACCAGAACAGATCTGAGTTGCGTGAGTTCTGCACAAATTGGGAATATCAGTAGTGTCATGCAGCAGCCCATTGGGGCTTCAATGAAGCCTGCTCTGTCAGTTGCCCCAACGGTTTCCAGTTGTGAAGAGCTTACCAAAAATAGAAAAGTTGACCATTTAAAAGAATTGGTTCACCAGCCAGAAAAGCAGGCGTCCCATAAGCAGCACGAACTTTCGTTTACAACAGAAATGGCAACCCCTAATGAAGAAGCAATGGAACATCAATTACAGTCTGAAGAGAGTGACTCTGATGGTATGTTGGCTTTCAGTAAGTGTGTGTGTGTGCACACTCGTGAGAGCGGGGTGCTGAAACATAGGTGTGCTGACTGGGTAAGATGGAAGTTGTAGTCCCAACAGTTTATAGGACACCAGATTGGGGTCTTGCAGAAAGATTGGGGCATTTCATTCCCTTCACATGCAGCCATCTTACACTGCACAATATTCAGCATGCTTTTTTTTTATAGCACTTGCTCTACAGTTCTGCTGCTGCCGCCTGCTTTGTCTTTTTCATGGCGTTGAGGCTGTAGTTTTGCAGCTCGGACAGCTCCCTCTCTTGCCCTGTGTGCCTCAGCCTTCATTTGCCTGTTACAGGGCACGCTTGAATTGGTGTTGAAAAAGCACTGAGTGATCTTGGCTTGTATATAGACTGTGACTGGCAACCAGTGTTAAAGAGATCTGTAGAAGTTATTTTGTCATGGGGGGATTGCTTTTGTAGTCTCGATACACTGTATAATACATAGAAGTGCTTATATGATTTATGTGTCTGTATATATTCAGAGCCAAGCTAGATGTGATATTCAAATTTTTGTTGACTATTGTTAGTTGTTTAAAAAACAAAACAAAACAGTGGTGAGGAGGCAGACTGAATTAGAACTGTGACAGGGGAGCTTTGACTTTTTGTCCCTGCTATGATCCCAGTTCAAATCTCCTCCCTATACCTGCTATGAACAGTGGGAGGGACAGTCCTGATCATCCAACTGGCGGCTATGAAGCAAAGAAGAAGAATCTACGATATAGGGCCAGTTGATGTGAATAATGCCATACCTATTATGTCCTTTGGTGTGATCTCGTTTGAAAGGCAAAAGTGGGAAATCATATTACAGTATTCCAAAGTTCTCTGAGGTTTGTCCTGTAGTTCTTTGTAAGCACTTGCTGATTTTGTCTGCCTGCCAAAATAGGGAAGGGGAACTGTTTCTCTGTCAAGAAGCACGTGGGAAAAAACCTGCCAGGATCCACATTCCAGCAGTGGGTGTGATCAGATGAAAAGTAGGCAGGGCCCACTTCAAAAGTGGGTGGAGTTGTGGTTGTAGTTCTTTGACAGAAAAACAAGATCATTTGGTTCTGGACATTCTCCCCCTCCAACTGGGACAGAATTTCTTCCATCAGAGGGAACAGAACAGGATGGAACAACATAATAACTCTCAAGTGGGTCTAGTGAGGGGGTGTGACATTTGGAAATACGGTGTGGTCTGTGGAGAGTTCAGGGATCCAGGCTGAGAGGCCTTGTGTTGTACATGCTGGGTTGTGGTCTGCATCCCCACCCCTTAGCTCACTGTAGTCACAGATTCCTTCAGTGGCAAGAAGAGTCATTGCGGTAAAAGTTGGAGAGATCTCTGGTCTCTTTTAAAAATAAAACCTGAACACAGACCATACAACTTTAAAGAGGGAGAAGCCAATCTTTCCTTCTTTTTTTTAATTGGTCAGGAAGCTTCATTGAAGTCGATGCTGAACTAAGTGGTGAGCTTCAGAGAGAAATATCTGAGAAGTCACCTTCCTCCACTGAACAGAAGGAGGGAACAATATCTGAGTATGCAGTGGATATTCAGGTGGAGAGCAAGGGTACTTTCGAAGGTGTGCCAGAAGTTACTGGAAAAGAAACAGAACTGACTGGAGAACAGGACTCCGAAATCAAAGGCAAGGACGAGGATACAGTTAATGAATGGCAGAATATTAGTATGGTAATTATTTTGATGTCATCTGTACTGGTTGAATAACGGGGGAGAGCTGTGCAATATCATCCAAGGATATTCTATTTCAATTTCTTATCACTTTTACTATTTGATTAGAAAATCTTATGCATATATTTGGAAGGAGTTAAGGAAAAATATTTAAAATAATTTGGTAGAGGGACCTTGTTCCAGGTGTTCAAGGATAGGCTAGACATGCACATGGTAGGCATGTCATGAGTGGAGCTGGCTGGAGCTGGGGGTCAGACTAGATGGCCCGGGAGACCCCTTCTGACTCGCTCTGTTTCTATGTTTCTAATGTCCCTGTGACTGAATATGCAGATCATAGGTTTCATTTTCTGATGGCTAGTTTGTTGTATGTTTTCTGAATTTGTCTGCAGTAATGAAAATTAGAAACTTGTTAGTAACTTCTGCATTAAATTTTGGCATTAAAGATTGAAGGTCAAAATTCTGTGGATGGATGGATGCATTTTTAACTGGGAAAAATGTTCTCAAATTTCTCTTCTAAATTTTATGGTAGTTTCTCTACTTCATTTTACAGAATACAGAATTTAGGCTGGCTTGGTGCAGAAATTTTCTTCGGAGTGCCTTGAGTTAAAAAAAAAACCCTTTAATTGTGCTTCATATTTGCAGGAGGAACTGGAGATCTTGGAAACAAACCTTTCTGTTGAACAGAACACGCTTCTGAGTCAGAAACGACAACAGGAACGTATTGCTGCCACTGTGACAGGACAAATGTTTTTAGAAAGTCAGGTATGGATTTCGAAACCATTGTGTTTGTTCACAGTTGCCTACAGGGGTTTCCACTTTACAGAAGGGGAAACAAAAGAGTTGATATGAACAATATTATTCAGTCATACTCATGTGGAAGTAAGATTTGAATCCATCTTTCTTAATGTTGGACAATTCTGGCTTTCCTTGTAATCTGAAAAAGTGTGTTTCAGTTGGGTGTGGAGCTAGGATTTTTCTCCCCCACATCTGGATTACATTTCCTTTTCACTGCCTTATTTGAGCAATGATTGCATGATCCATTTGACTGAATTATTTCAGGGCTAATGTATCGATTATACTTTGATTACATATTGTTAAAAGAAGAGTCAAGTATATTAAGAGGAAAATGTATTTAGCTAATTACGAAGTTTTACTCAGTGCAAGTCCATGGAAAGAAAAGGGAAGCATTGAGAGAAATTACGTCCTAAAATCAATTGCTGCAAATGAATATTTTCAAAAATATGAGAAAAGAATGGAGAAACATTATCTTAAAAAGGAAGCTGTCAACATCACAACATTGTAACTAATTAAGAGTTCCCCATGTTATTAATTTCTTGGTATATAATCCTTGTATAACTTAGAAAACTGCAGTTTCCCATTGCCTGCTCATTTTCTTTTTGCTACTTGTCATTGTTTTGGATCAGTGTGTTGGCCAAATCTTTCTAGGCAATGTATCTAT